TATGATGTATACAGACATAGTACTCATCCGATTCATAATGATTAATTTATTTGATTCTCTGATTTGGGTCATAGTAGAGAGGACTTGCTCGTGGGGTTGACCCACCATTGTTGTTATTTCAGGATACGGTCAGTACCCGTTCCAAGGTTGAGGTTAGCAGTGAGGGACCACCATCCGAACTTATCTACTCTTACGATCCAGTTCAGGGTAGAAGTTTTATGTATTACTTCAGTTTCAGTTTTTATTTACTTTTGACGTTGAACTCTCAGGGTTATATTTAGGGATCCTTGACATAGGATTTCCAAGTTGTAATGAAGTACTGTATTAAATAAAGGATGGATGGATGTTGTATTATTTAGTGTTCCTTTCCTGTCTAAATTCTTTTATTATCATCATTTTGTATTCCATGCTTGTGTATTGCCAATTGTTTTTGATATCCCTCGTTTTTCGTGTATAAGCCTGATCAACTTATGCGTGGAAAATGTGGGGGTGTTACACACTTGGAGGCTTAGTATGATGACACATAGAGGGTGGAGATTCACCCACTTGTTGGCTTAGGATAGGTGCATTTGTTGGCTTGGATAGTTAACAAGTGTGGGCTTAGGATTAAGCCTAGGAGTCATGGATTAGTGACAAGTGTAGGCTTCATTTTTGATCTTGCATTATGTGTGTGTGAAGACCATGGTGTAGGATCACCTGGGGAGTGGAGGAATGCTAAATCCTCCACTCACCTCACTTTATTGTATCTTCCCCATCAGTTTGCTCTCAAACCCGAACCTAGCCTCCATTGAAGGAAAAGCTTGGCTTAGAGCTCTTGACTTCATTTTGGCCTACTTCCACTCACCTTAGACCATAAAGTTAGGAATATAAAAGCTTTGTCTCACCTTCCTCTTTATAACACTAGAAGAAAAATTTGAAATTTCTTTCATTTCCTTGAATTCAAGAGGAACAATCCTCTTGTGAGGTAGTGGGTAATTTAAGTTTATGTTTTTGTTGTTTTGTATACTTTATAGCTTGGTATGAATTGAATAAATGCTTTTAATCTAAATTTTAAGTTGGTAAGTAATGGTACCTTACATGAAATTAAGCTAAGACATGATTTTTGAAAAGGCCATGACTTGATTCATAACTTACATTAATTTGAAGTCATTTAGGGTTGTTTTGAAATCTAGAAAAAATTAATTAATTTTTATTTATATGTTTCTATGATTTAAATCAAGTTTTGAAGTAATATATGTAATGATCATGATAGGTTTTTTAACATATATTAAATTAAGGACATTTGGATGAGAAATGAAATCTAGAGAAATTAATTATTTTATTTAATTAATTTTCATCCTTGTTGTATTAATGATTTGAGTATGTATTTTATGTTGATTGCTGGTTTAAATTATGATTTTAGACTTGTATTATATTGTGAGATTATGTTCTAAATATTGAATCATATTGTTATAAAGTGTAATGACTTGCACAATTTGTTGATTTTGGAAACTTGGGATGTCGTTGTTATGACTTCGGCTATGGCATGGTTCTAGTATGGGGGATTGTCCCTCTACAGTCTAGTGCCCACATAGGGAGGTTACCCGTGGGCTAGTAACCCTAAAGTAACCACGTTGTCGGTCTGATTCAGCGTGATGTCCGAGTATCCACTTTTGTTTGATTTCGCATTTTAAATTCCAAGTTGATAACTTTGTGAGTTTATATCTTATTGCGTTGTGTTGGAAGTTCCAATGTCGGTTAAACATTATGGATTGATTTACATTGAATTGTAAAGGTTGTGTAAAGTTAGGTCTATGCATGCTCATTCCGTACGAGTAACTTATTTACTCACCCCAAAGTTATCGGGTTATTTTTAAGGTAAAGAAACGTTATTGTGGGATGCACAACACCCCTAGGCTTGCTTGACTACTTGGAGTATTTTTGTTATACTAGAATATGCACTTGTTAGCATATCATACTTCATTTTGGTTTATTATGGCAAAAGTTGTAAGCTTTATTCAAACTATGTAATGTGCACTTAAGTGCACCTTTTGTCACTCATTGGTTGTGTATGTAATGAGGCCATGGGCCAAAGATGTTTATATGACATGTATGCTAATTTACTTTCATAATTGTTTATGGAATTTCAAGCAAAACTCATGCATTGGGTTATGATTTAAAGTTTCCTCTTGATTTATCATGTTGTGTATGCTTGAATGAAGCTAGGAAATGTTTTTGAACTTGTTTCGGACCATTGGAATGCATGTATAGCTTAAGGTTGGACCTAGCACCTCCCCATGCATTGAAGCAGCAGCTTTTGCTGCATTCTGTTTCGTCGTTCGACTGATTGTTGTTTTCTGTTTCGTCGTTCGGCTGATTATTGCTTTCTATTTCGTCGTTCGCCAGTCAGAACGCCTGACTATGTAAGTCTAAACGCCTGACCATGTAGGTCAAAACGTCTGACCATGTAAGTCCGAACGCCTGACCATGTAAGTCAGAACGACCGACCTTGTAAGTCATACCGAACTGGCACTCAGTGCTGAACGAGCGTTCAGTGTTGAAGAGTGCCGAACGAGCACTCATTGTTGAAGAGTGCCGAACGAGCACTCAGTGTTGAACAGTGCTGAACGGGTGCTCGGTGCTTTAGTTTTGGATAAGCGCTCGTACATACCTCAGAACCTTTCTTTTCTTTTGCTTTGATCATCTTTCGCTTCCGCACTTCGGATCCGTTAATGGGTCATCTTTTGGTCACCGCTGACGAATCGGGTTTATAAAACTTGGGCCGTCACAGACACCAGGATTTTTAGCTATGAAACCTTAATTGGTATAATAGACCAACTGTTGTGGGAAAAATCTTGTGGACTGTATAGTCCAAAGTAAAGCGATCCACTATGTTTGAAACAAAGTACAATGGACTTTGACTCAGGCTTATACCCCTATCGTTCTACCAAACTCCAATTGCTGATAATTTTCTGGTTTTGCGACGTCCCGTCCAACAGCTCTTGACTTCAGACTTACTTTTGATATCTGTAGAAGGATTGATAGTAGATCAAACAACACTCCTCGAATGTTTTGACCCTTTCAAAGTGTAATCGCTTCACCTCTGTTCTTCAAGATTTGAATTTGATGTAGAAGAAGTAGATCTGCTTTCTCTGATTGTTGTAGATGCAATATTCAATAAACTTTGAACATGATCATGATTTGAACAACACTCTAAAATCACTCTTATGTTTCTGTGTGTGTTCTAGAAAGAAAAACAGAAAAATCAGTTTTGATTCTGCAATATTTATCTCCAATAGGCTTTTAAGAAATCTAAAGATGTAATGCAAAAGCCATATCAACCTAGATGAAAATCAAGGTTTATATAGACTTTCAAAGACATATGCATAAGAAAAGGTAAATTTTCATGCATAAGGCTTTTGGAAAGAAGTCTAAACTAAATAGGAAGTTTAGACAGAACAGGAAACTAATTACCTAAACTGTATCAGCATGTGGAACCGGTAGCCAACTTTGGAACCGGTTCCAAAGGACATAATATCTTCTTCAAAGCATAGTTTTTGAACTGGCAGAAGAAGTTTGGTACCGGTTCCCACTTAATAAAATTGAAAGGTAAGGTTTACTAGTTTGGAAAAATACTGTTTTGGTAACTTTTGAAGAATAAATATTGAATGTATAGTGTCCTAATGGGGAAACAACTCCTTAAAGTGGCGTTCAAACTTTTTTTGTAGATCATAGTGTATTAAACTTGAACAATTTCGTAACTGATCTCGATCTTGATATGGTAACTTGAACATTATAATTCGAAGAAATTAGCCGATTACAAAAATTAAATCTCACATAATTATCTCTGGAAAAGCTGGAACTATTTATGGCGTAGCCGGAAAAAAACTTTGCCTTAGACGGAAAAATACTCTGACTCAACCGAAACTATCTCTGGCTCATCCGCCACAATATAGAAAGAAGGAAAATCTGGAAAAAAGTACAAGATGTCGAAGGAAAGAAAGTTAGAAAGAGAACACAAAAATTAAATAGGAAGAAGAAGTAGACGGAAGACTTGACTGGTGGATATATATAGGAGAGAGAGAAGTTGGAGTTCGAGTATTAATCAAATCAAGCCTCAGAAAATCAAGTTATTATGAGCTGCAGTTGTTATTAACTGTTACCCAAATAATATTTTTGATAAATTAGTAGGACCACATTAAATTAATATTGATTTTTCAACCTAAATAATCAATATCGATTTGATAATTTAATTTGAAGAGTGAAATACCTAAAATGTTATTATGAGAAAATAAAATAAAAAACACTTATTTGACAATTGCTTCAGTCATGCTCTTCTTTTTCTAATTTGGTTTATTTTTATTTTTTATTTTTAATTTTTGTTGCTGTGAAAGGTTCATCTTTGAGGTCCAGATTCTGCATAACTACCTCCACTTCAGTGCTTTGGTCTATTTGGGATGAGAGGAATATGAGATTGCATGGTTCTACAACTAATTCAGTTGCTTCTATTGTCCTTCAAGCATGCCTTGAAAGTCTCCAAGCTATTCAACTTGACCTTCAGGATTTACAGTAATTATTCTGATCTTTTGTTTCTAATTTGTATTTTTTAGCTTCTTCTAAGGCCCTCTTTATGTTTCTTATAATTATTTTCCTTGTGAAGGTATGGCCTTCACTGGTTTCTCTTTCTTGTATCATATTATTTTTATTTCTTAATATATACCCCTATTCATGAAAAAAGAAAAAAAGAAGAAAAGAAAAAAAGAAGAAGAAGATGTGTTACTTCCATTCCTTCTTTTTCATTTAATCAAATAAAAAAATAAAAAAGACACCAACCCTTCTCTAAAAAAACTGTCTCATCCAAATTTTTTTTTTAACTGCTGGGAATTTTTTTTTTTTTTTTTTACTGCTGCAAAATCTTATACTTGACCAGGAGTTTTCAGCAATAATTGGAGGTGCACATGGGTGGGTCTAAGACGTTGAAATAGCGGTCTTTAGTTTTGACTTCGTAGTCCCGTGCAAAGCGCCAATCCATCAATAAGGGTTACCTTTCGTTAAAAACTTGAAACATATGCTCACACACAGCAACTATGAAGTGATCATAATAAACCCACAAAACCCAAACCAAACCGAAACCAGAACAATGGAGTCATCAGCTTCTTCCTTTCAACCAGTATCGCCTATCCATCTTGCGTTGGCGGCCTTGTTCGGAGCCTCGGTAATGGCGGTCTCCGCCTTCTACATCCACAAGCGCAGCCTCGACCAAGCTCTCGAACGCCTCATCAAAATCCGCCGCCAATCCCCTCCCTCCGCCGCCGACGACGCCGATCATTTCGCCTCCGATGACGAGGAACACGAAGATCACGACGGAGGCGGAGAGATTGACAACGACATCGATACGAGTATGTGGAGGCAGAGACTGCCAAGGCCGCCAAGAAATGAGAACGCGCTTCATAGTTACAGAGTCTCGTCTTCGATGCCGAATGTCGGTTTATCGAGTGAATGGTTGGATGATGATGAGCGGCCAATGCAATTCCAAGCATCTTCTTTCGACAAACTCAATTTCATTCCCTCTGGTTTACCTCCTCTTCAACCGGCTCCAAAAGATGGTATTTCTTTTAACCTTCCATTCACTTTCTAAAATGATCAGTTTTGTGATTGTTGTAGTTTAAATTGAAAGAGATAAACAATGATAGATGATTTTGGTGCTTAATGTGTTGAATTGGTAGTTCATTGTTTAGTTTGATAACAGAAGATCATTCTGTGTTATTTTATTTTATTATTATTATTATTTTTATCTAGATGAATATACAAAAGTCTTAATACAATATGAGTAATAGTAAATAAAATCTTTGCTTAAAATACTCTTGCAAAATGTGTGGTAGGAATAGAATGATTTAACACATAATCTTTTGGTGGAAATCCCCCGAGACCTCATTTTTGGTTGCACACAGAGTTGCATACCTGCATGTCTGTCATGTATTGAAACTTTAGTTAATCCTGAAGATTAGGACTCGAAAGTGTTTCCCATGAATCCAGCCTTGGGGTGTAAGGTTTTTTTTTTTGATAAGTAAACAATTAAATTGGTTAAACGTCGCCTGAGAGATTCGAACTCTCGCGGGAAACCCCATGTACTTAGTGGTGTAAGGTTACGTGTTTTATCTGTTTATTTTGAAATCACTAGGCTCCAGGCTCATACAGGCAACTGTTGTGTGCACTGTTGTGTGCTCAGGTGCGCCTTTGACAACATGTGTGCTTTTTATATGGAATATGAATATGCGTCAATAGTAATTTAATTTTTCAATTGTGTGTCTCGCTTCACTCAGGCATGCACATCGCCTTGCGCTTGGGCTCCTAGTGCCTTACTGCGCCTTGGGCCTTTGATGACACTGCTATGACTCAATATTCTACAACTTAAAACTTGTAAATGAAGTGAATAAACGTTTACTTCAAGAACATAGAGAATTTTCAAAGTTAATAGATTTTTGTTTTAAAGGTTAGTTCCAATACTAAATTGGGATATCTAATTTGATGTATATGCTTGTGTGCCTTCCACCACATGTTAGCAACCTTAGGCCAGGGGTATAACAAGTATTCATAAGATTAGAAGTTGATGGTTAAAGGTCAAAGATAATATGAAACTCAGTGATAGATACAGACAGATAAAGATGGTGGCAAATGATTAATAACAAGACTCTTCAGACTCTTCGTAGAGTCAAAGGTGTTGCTGGTGGAAGAAGTTGTTCACAGGGAGAGGATTCACTATTTAATATCATGTCAGGTGGTGATAGTTTCACTTTATTTATTTATTTGTTTATTTTTTATATAACGCAAAGGTGTTGCTGGCCTAGGAAAAAATCAATAGACCATTAGGTCCTATTGATGGTTAATGGTTTGTCCTTGAGTCAAGAATAAAAAATGGTATAAAACCCGAATAGCAGACTATCAATAACTCTAGATTATAGGGATGTTTGGAAACCTAAGAACCAGGTCAGCTGAGGTCCTGGGGATAAGGCTGACTTGTAATGTTGGTTTTTTTTTTTTTTTTCCTTTTCATTTATTAGTATGCACAAAAAATAAGGCATAAACCAGCATTATTAACCAATTAAATGTAGGTTTTTTTATGAACCAGACAATAGAATCAGTATTGAAAATTTCAGTTGAAACTTGTTTACTCCAAGGGATTATTCCTAACTGTCACATAATATGCCACTAAAAGCTTTAGAAGAATAAGTTTGCTCCAGCAGTTTTCATTTTTGTCCTTTGGATTGACAAAGGTTTTAGAGTTTCCTACTCAAATGTTTTGACACAGTAAATTATGACATCTAAGCTGTATGAGTATGGAAACTGCTTCTTTAGGAGAATTTTAGCTGCTGAAGTTAATACTTCAATTGCAAGTATTATTCTAGGATGTGTATTTATGTGCTTTTTTTTTTTTAAGTAATGATCGATTAGAAAAGCGTTCAAAAAGGGTACGCGTCCTTAATACAAAAAACAAAAGCTGAACCTTAGGACCTATAGAGGCCAAAAGATCAACTAAGTCATCAGAAGAGGAGCAAACGCTTCCTTTCACATAACAAAAAATAGAGCAAAGAATATGAAGTTTCAAGGTTGCCAAAGGCAATTCCTTTCCTTCGAAAATTCTGCTATTCCTCTCGTTCCATAGGCACCACCAAACACAGTGTGGAACAATCCTCCAATAATGGCGAGTGTGGCTTCGCACTGGGCATCCTCTGCACGTGTTAATCAGTCCTTTGGAAGACTGAGGCATTACCCAATGTATACCAAATATACCGAAGATGAGGTTCCAACAATCGTATGCCACGGGACAGTGCATAAGAATTTGATCCACAGACTCACCGCCTCGTTTGCATAGACACCACCAATTAAAGATAGTGTTGCCTCTCTTTCTCAAGTTGTCCAACGTCAAAATCTTACCCCAGACGGTAGTCCAAACAAAGAATGCTACTCTAAGTGGAGCCTTAGAGCGCCATATAGTCTTCCATGGGAAAGAAGGACCAACGAAGTTGGAAAGACATAGGAACATGGACTGAACACCAAATCTTCCATGGGAGGAAGGAACCCACAAAATGTCATCACCATCTCCGCCAACTACCTCCTACTGATACAACATATCCAGAAAGGCACATACCTCATCCATCTCCCAATCCTGAAAAGAACGCCTAAAGCGCACATCCCACTACTATCAAGCTGATAACAGTTAGCTACGCATTGAATATCATGGTTTTGATCTCCAAAGCATGGACATATCCATTTCATCAGGGTCCTTTATTTCATGACGGGATCAAAGAGTGGAGTTGTTGCAAGAAAAGAAGTCATGATTTCAACTTATTTCTAGAAATTCCAGGGAATTCTGTTATTGATTTAGTATGCGCACTTTCTTGGAGGTTGCTCGTTTACCTCGTCTTTTTCAAGGTGGGTTTGCCAGGTCTGCAAACACGTACAGGGGTCCTTCGATTTTCTTGGAAGATGATTCGGTTGGTAGGAGGAAAGAGGACCTGCGTTTGTGTTTGGTGGGTCAGTTTGAGAAGGAAGTGGGTGATTTGGCTTAGATCGCCACTTGGGCAACGCGGGCTTGGAAGATTTCAGCTGAAGTGGTGGTTTCGCCTTTGCCGAACTCGTTGATCCTCTTTCGTCTCCCTTCTCCGGCGGAGGCAGCTCGTGTTCTCAAGGAGGGCCGTCGGGAATGGGGTAGTACTTCTCCCTGAGTGGAGGCTTGGAATTTCAGAGTGGGTTGCTCCGAGGTTTTGAAGGTGCAAGGATTGAAGAAGGTTACGCTTTATGGTCTCCCTCTTCATCTCTGGAGCCATGCTTTGTTTGTGACGGTCGGCGACCTTTGTGGTGGCTTTATTTGGGTTGATGCTGATGAATCCAAGGATGCTGAAAGAGTCCGGATCACGGTCTCGGTGGGACGTGCTTGCCCTCCTTTTGTTTTCGTCCATGATGACCGATTCTGCTATAAGGTGGTTGTTTGGGAGGAGAAGCACCTTGTTCTGGTTCCAACGACGGACAGCTTGGAAGGAGGAGATGGCTCGCTTCTATTAAAGGAGGTTGATTGGTTGAGATGGGAGTCCATGGGATTGAAGGGGAAAGTTGAATTTCAGAAATGGAAGGCATGGAGGGATAAGGTTTGGGCTCGCAACGCGGAATGCTTCAAAAGAATGTTCAATCAGAAAAGGAAGATTGGTTCTTCTTCATCATTCAATCGTGGCAGATTTGTTTTTCGACGGGATTTTCAGAGGGGAGGTTTCAGAGGTCATGACAGTCTACCGGATTCCCATGTGGGAGATCGGAGAAGAAATCGAGGTGGTTTTCACGCGCCTTCAGCGCGTAGGTGGGGAAGGGTCGGGGACCAGACACGTGGTTGATGCTCTGGAGTTGGACGTTCGGGGTGGGATACAACTGGTTCCTCATTTGAATTTGAACCACGTGTGACTTTTTAGGCCTCACGTTCAGATGGGCTTTTGGTTGGGCTGGAGGTTGGGGCCATTGTGCCTAGTTTGATTGGTCCGGTTCCTCATGGGCTTACGGTGGGTCGAGGCCCAGACTCTCGTGGTTGTGATCCGAACTGTGCAAAGAAGGCCCAGGTTGACAAGGTTCCTTCTGTCTTGGGCTACAATCTGAAGGGTGGGCCGCGTTTCAATTCTGTTGTCTCTGAGCTGAAGGTGGCTAATAGGTTTGAGCCTCTTTCTTCAACTGACAGACCCGTTTCATCTGATGGACCTGCTTCTTCATCTAATGGACCTGGTTTTAAGAATTCTGATTCTCCAAAGGACGGACGGCGTGAGGTGCGGCCTTTACAAGGTTGCCGGCTGAGAAATAAGAAAAAGCTTATTCTCCCTGCAATCCGAAGGAGATGGTCTCGCAAGGAGAAACAGAAATGGGTGGTGAAGTCTGCTTCATCTCCGGGTAAGTCTTCCTCTCAGTTGAGTTGCTCTTTTTTTCATCCTTCTTCGTCCTCTCTTCTCCTCTTTGTGGGGTGACAAAGCGAAGTTCCGGATTGGGGAAGGAAGGGTTGTCCTCTTTTCCAAAAGGTTGTCTCCGGTTTTTGAGGCAGCATCAGAGAAGCGTTTAGATGAGCAGTTTTGCGATGGGCAGGGTTGTTTGGTGGGATCCGTGGAGTCTCTTGATAAAAAGCGGGAGGGCGTCACTGTTTGTGTGGGACTGGATGTGCAGATATGTTTGGATGATGTTTCTGTTGCAGCTCTGTTAAAGGACCTTCGGGTTCACTTGGCATTGAAAGACTTTCAGGCTGAGCCAGGGGGCCTTCTTTCTGATGAGGAATTTGGGACTCCGATGGATGGTTGTGCTCCCTCCACCTCTGTTCCCGAGGATTGGGAGGGAATTTCGTGTTCTTCTCTTGATGGGGAGCTGGGGTTGATTCAGCGGGAAGGAGCTGAGCAGGCTGTGGAGATGTGTGTTCCTTTGGCTGTCATTCGACCGGAAGAGGAGTGTTCGGAAGGCGTTGCTGTTGTTGTTGGAAGGGGGGCTTTGGAGGAGGAGTGGTTTCGAGAAAAAGGGGGGGGAGGTGGGCTCTCTTTTGGGAGTGTCTTTTGAAGGGCGAATGGAGGAGGCGTTGAGTATGTTTCTTGGCATCCTTAATTCACAGCTTTTTGAAAGAATGGGAGGTAGGGGTGGTGTTTAGGAAGGGGTAGCTGAGAGGGAGGTGCGGAGATCTGCGGATCTTGTTACTTATGAAAGGCGAAATAGGGGTCCAGGGAGAGGGATAATGGGAGGAGAAGTGGGACGGATTTTGCTACTGTTTCCCTATGAAGCTACAAATCTTGTCATGGAATTTGCGGGGTCTTAATGACCCGGTGAGGAGGAAAGTGGTGAAGTTGGTTATTCGTAAAGGGGGAGGTCATGTGGTGTGTTTGCAAGAAACCAAGATTGCTTCGATGACGGATTTGACTGTGCGAAACATTTGGGGTGGGAGATTTGTGAAGTGGTGTGCCTTGGATGCCAATGGCTCTGCGGGTGGTGTTCTTGTTTTGTGGGATAGTAGATGGGTGTCTTTGGTGGATTCTCGGATTGGGAACTTCTCTTTTTCATGTGTATTCTCTATGGTGGAGGATGGTTTCCATTGGGTCTTTTCGGGTGTGTATGGGCCTACGGATGATCTGGCAAGGCCGATGTTGTGGGAGGAGCTGGGGGATTGTGGTGGGCATTGGTTGCTGCCGTGGTGTATTGGAGGAGATTTCAATGTTGTTCGCTTCCTTTTTGAGAGATCGACGGGGGGAAGGTGGACGTCTGACATGGAGTCCTTCTCGGCTTTCATTGATGATTCTGGGCTGGTTGACTTGCCTTTGGAGGGTGGGCCTTTTACTTGGTCTAGTGGTCGCTCTCCTCCTACCTTATCTCGGCTTGATTGTTTTCTTGTGTCGGGAGACTGGGAGGAGAAGTTTCCTGATGTTGTTCAGGCTACTTTGGCTCGCCCTATCTCGGCTTGATTGATGTTGGATTGTGGTGGGTTGCGTAGAAGACGATCTCCATTCAGATTCGAGAATATGTGGCGTCGTGCTGAGGGTTTTCTGGATAGAGTTCTAGTTTGGTGGGATGGGTTTGGGGGGGTCGGTACCCCAAGCCATTTGCTCGCGGTTCATTTGCGTCTTCTTAAGGAAGACATCAAGATTTGGAACAAGGAAGTTTTTGGGAATCTTATCTGGAGTAAGAATCGGGTCTTTTCTGAGATTGTTGATATTGACCGGATGGAAGGTCAGGGAGCCTTGGCGGACTCCCTGAAGACTAGGAGGGTGGAATGTCAGGCGGAATTTGCTGAGATTGCTATTATGGAAGAGATTTCGTGGAGACAAAAGTCTCGTGCTTTGTGGCTTAAGGAAGGTGACAAGAACACGAAGTTTTTCCATCGCTTGGCCAACGTCCACTGTAGGGGCAATCATATTGGTAGGATTCGGGTGGAAGGTGAGTTATTGTGCAAGGAGGATGAGATTTGCAAGGGTATCGTTGACTTCTATGCGAAGCTTTTCACAGAGAATGTTGGGTGGAGACCTTTGCTTGAGGGGCTCCAGTTTGATTCTATCTCTAGTGAGGGGGGCTTTGGTTTGGAGGCGCTTTTTTCTGAAGAAGTGCTGGTTGCTTTGAAGAGTTGTAATGGGGATAAAACCCCAGGTCCGGATGGGTTTATTATGAGATTTCTTTTGGACTGCTGGGAAGTGGTCAAAGGGGAAGTGATGGGCACTTTTCATACTTTCCACACTCAAGGCTCTTTTGAAAAGAGCTTGAATGCCACTTTCATCACCCTCATTCCAAAAAAAGGGGGGGCTCTGGATGTTAGGGATTTTCGACCTATTAGTTTGGTGGGGTGCATTTATAAGTTGATTGCCAAAGTTCTTGCGAATAGATTGAGGAAGGTATTGGATGGAGTTATTTCTGACTCTCACAATGCCTTTCTGGGAGGTCGTCAGATTTTGGAGTCAATTCTTATTGCTAGTGAATGCGTTGATTCCAAATTGCACAGTGGGGATCCAGGCGTTCTGTGTAAGTTGGACATCGAGAAGGCATACGACCATGTGAGTTGGAGCTTCCTTCTTTATCTGATGGAGAGGATGGGGTTTGGAGTGAGATGGAGGAAATGGATTCATTTTTGTATTTCCAGTGCTCGTTTCTCTGTGCTTGTGAATGGAGCTCCGTCGGGTTTTTTCTCTAGTTCGAGGGGGTTGACGCAGGGAGATCCACTATCCCCTTTTTTGTTCCTCTTTGTAATGGAAGCCCTCAGCAGGTTGATGAGGAGAGCTGTGGAGCTGGGTTTTCTAAGGGTTTTCCGGGTGGGCAGGGATGTTGCCAGTCAGTTGGAGATTTCGCACCTGATGTTTGCAGATGATACTTTGGTTCTGTGTGATGCAGATGTGTCCCAGCTTAGATATCTAAAATGTGTTCTGATTTGGTTCCAAGTTGTGTCCGGCCTTAAGGTGAATGTTGGAAAGAGTGTTTTGGTTCCAGTTGCTGAGGTCCCTGACATTAGGATGCTTGTGAGCATGGTTGCCGTACATGCTCTTTTCCCATTTCTTATCTAGGGTTGCCCCTGGGTGCTCCTTCGAGATGTGTGGGAGTTTGGGATCCAGTCGTGGATAGGTTTGAGAGGTGGTTGGCAGGGTGGAAGAAGCAGTATCTTTCCAAAGGGGGGCAGGTGACTCTAATCAAGAGTACCCTTTCTTGTCTTCCCACCTATTTTATCTACCTTTTCCAGATTCCCTCCTCGGTGGCGGAGAGGATTGAGCGTTTGCAACGCAATTTTTTGTGGGGAGGGAAAGGGAAGGAATTCAAGTTTCACCTGGTCCGTTGGGAGCATGTTTGTAGGCCGATTCGGAATGGAGGGTTGGGGCTTAGAAGATTGGTGCCTTTTAATAAAGCTCTCCTTGGGAAATGGTTATGGAGGTTTGGGGTGGAGAGGCATTGGCTTTGGAGGAGGGTCGTGGTGAGCAGATTTGGAGAGAGTAGAGGAGGGTGGTGCTCTCTTGAGGTGCGTGGTCCTAGGGGTGTGGGGGTTTGGAAGTTTATTCGATAGGGTTGGGTTGATTTTTCCAATCATGTTCGATTTCGTCTCAGGGATGGTAGGCGGATTAGCTTTTGGGAGGATATCTGGTGTGGGGACATCCCTCTTGCTCTTGCTTTCCCTCGACTGTTCAGGATTGCTTCGGATAGGCAGGCCAGGGTGATCAACTGTTATCATCTTGATAATGGGAGATTGGTTTGGGATGTTCGATTTAGGCGTCTGTTTCAGGACTGGGAAGTTGATGATGCAATTCGTCTTCTGGAGGTTTTATATCGGTAGGGTGTTATGGTCGGAGATTCTGATATTTGGATTTGGGCTCCCAATGCTCAGGGTCGCTTTAATGTGCGGTCTTTCTTCAGGCGTCTCACTCAAGAGCCTGTAGGTCCTTTCCTGTGGAGAGCAGTTTGGCGTTCTAAGGCTCCTCTTAAGGTGGCCTTCTTTGCTTGGACCTCTGTTTTGGGAAAGATTTTGACTCAGGATAATTTGAGAATAAGGGATCGGGTGGTGGTTGATCGGTGTTTTATGTGCCGTCGGGATGAAGAGTCAGTGGACCATCTTCTTTTGCATGGTCCTGTGGCCAAGGTTTGTTGGGATTTGATGCTTGGCCTGTTTGGTTATCTTTGGGTCATGCTTGGCTCTGCTAGAGGTTTGATTGAGGCTTGGAAAGGCTGTTTTGTGGGGGCTCACATTCGAGAGGCTTGGAGGGCCACACCTCTCTGTATTTGGTGGTGCATTTGGCTTGAGAGAAACAGGAGATACTTTGAGGGAAAAGAGTCTCCTATTTTTGTTATGAAATTCTCCATTGTTTCCACTCTTTTTTGTTGGGTTTCGGGTAGAGATTATAGATCTTTTGAGGACATTGTTGATTTTTTGGCCTCCTTGAAGGCTTAGTGGTTTTTGCTTCTTGTTGTTCCTTTGGATGTGCTCTCCTTTTGAGCGCTTTTTTTATACAATTCTTACTTATCAAAAAAAAAAAAAAAAAGCATGGACATGCTCAGGAGGGGGTTGCACTTGTGTCAGCCACTTGTCTGACACTCTATATTAGTGTCCTCTTTTTTTTTTTTTCAATACGCTGGACACGCAGAAGACACGGCCGGCCGTTAGATTTTTTATTTTGATAAAAAGAGAGAAGATGAAGAGATATGTTTGTATGTGTGTGTGTATTCATTTGAAGGGAGATCAATGAAGCGAGATAAGAGATCTAAATGTGTTTAGAAATGGAAAAGATGGAGAGAACAGCCGGAAAAAGAGAGAAGTACTGGACCCATCATGAATGATAGAGTGAGGGGGAGAGAGAGAGGTTAAGAGATAGAGGAGAATAGGAGATGCCGGAGGCTTTCGGCTGGTGTTAAGGAGAGAGAGAAGTGGCGTGAACTTGGGGAAGAGAGAAAGGGATTTCAATCTCATCTCTATTGTGGAGGTGTTTGGTTACAAAGATAACAATCCTACTATGGGATACAAATATATATAAATAATATTATTTTTGTTTGTACATTCATGGAATTTGGGCCTATGATTTTATGGGCTATTTGGTGGACCTAATTTGAATGGGTTGTTTATAAACATAATTTCGAAATTGAGTAAAAGTTAAAAATTTATATATAATAAAAATATATATTATTATTTTATTGCCGTATCCATCCCATGTCCGTGTCCTATTTTTTTAAAATTTTCCGTATCGCCGTGTTCGTGTCGTATTGTACTTTTGTCCTGTGTTTGTGTCCATGCTTCTTAGGTTTTGATGGAATTATTGTTTGGTTCATTTTACAAAAATATCTGAAAAGGCTTCATCCTTTTAATCTAAATGTTCAATGTTTTTCCTTACTCTTAAATTCCATTTCATTGTGCAGGAGAGGATCAATCTGTTAATAAATCTGCTTCTAAGATGTGGGTGGGTTCTGGTGGTAGGCTAATGACTCCTAGATCCTCCGGTGGCTATGCATTTGAAAGTGCTGGAGATTCTGATGAGGAAGGAACTGACAATGCGGCTGGAGAGGACACACTTTTTACTTATCAGAACATCAATTCTTCAACTGAATATATGAATGTAAATGCCTTGTTATTATCTTTTCCTAAATTATTAAATTACTTTTGTTATTTTTCTAATTAAATTATGCACTGAGGTCCATAAGTTTTTCAGCTAGTTTACTACACTTAGAATGGAGCTACTTGATCTTAAGACAGAGATGTTATCGGTACCAACAGTGATCAGGGATCTTCAGGCACAGCAACCTGAAGAAAGGGAATTATAAAAAGATATGGTCATGACAATTCAGTTTCTATTGTTTTTTATGATGTCATGGATCATGACAATGTTAAGAGATATTTTTATTTAGATATGAAATCAAAATTGCTTTTTTGAAATGTAATTTTTTTGAGGCAAGCTATGGACTATTGGTTAACTGGTGTGACTTGTTCAAATTTGTTTTTTGGCCTATTGTAATTAAATTTTGTAAACTGTGGTAGTCGGCAGTCCCAACTCGCTGGTAGAAACAGGTGAAATGAGCACTCCATTTTACTGGCCAAGAAGCCCTGACTGTTTTTTACTTGTATGTGATAATCTCTTTTCTATGGCAACATTTCATGCTTTTGCAGTTCTACGAATTTTGTTTCAGCTGAAATGGTTGAAAGCAGCATTCTGAAAGAATCAGTTGTACACTTTACTAAGTGTTGATGGCTTTGCAGGACAGCTATTCAAACATTCAGAATTCATCCATTGCTCCATCAAAAACTGACATTGGGAACCGTACTCAAGATGAGAAATGTGGTAAAATTGAAAATGGAGCTGAAGCCTATGCTGATCAACATGGCAATGAAAAGGTAGATACAGCTGCAGTGCACAATTTGTGGAATGATCCTATTTTTGCCAACACTATTCCTTTGACAACTGCAGCGCATGGTATTCTCAACTTCCTGATTGTATCGATTTTCATTGGGTATTTCTGGTTGGTCTTGTTGCTTCAAGTTTTTCTGCATAGGTTTTCTGGCTATTGTTGGCCAACTAGCATATTTGTTTTAACAATTGTTTTGATACATCTCTGCTTCTTAATTGTTCATGTCCTATTAATATTTTCATGGTATTGTGGGAAAAGTAATGAAAAACCATACTTGATTACTTTTTCAATAGGTGACCTAAATGGGTGTGTGATTATGTTATGTCAGAGTCCGTGAATACTGAAGAGGAAGAGGTACGGAAGATGCTTCGTGAGTGTTTAGATCTGCGGGAGAGTTATCTTTACAGGGAAAAAGTAGCTCCGTGGATGAATGCAACTATTGGAGAATCTTGTGAATCAGAGACGAAGAGTGATCCATTTCACTTTGTCCCCGTTGAAGCAACTGCTGTGAGTTGTACTTCGCTCATTGAAATTTGTAACATGTTCTGAAATTATCTTCTTAATTTGTTTTGCAGAGCAGTCAAGTGAAGCCATTCATTTTTCTCTAAGCATTTTGTCTGATGTTGTTTCTTTAATTTGTAAACAGCACACCTTTAGGATGGAAGATGGAGTTGTACATGTTTATGCAAGTGAAAACGGTAACCTTTGCATGGCAATGCATAATGCACAAATAATAATAATAATCCATTATTGTAGTTTTTGATCAATGGCTAGACACATCTGTTTGGTTATTTTGTTTTCCTAGTATGAAAACCTCAAGCATTCTGTTGAACCTTTTTGTTTTTTCCTTAAGACTTGACAGATCTGTTTCCTGTTGCGAGTTCGACGACTTTTTTCACTGATATGCATCACCTTCTGAAAATTATGTCCATTGGAAATGTTCGCTCTATGTGCCATCATCGACTGCGGTTTCTTGAGGAGGTGATAATCTTCAGACTTTGGGACTTCTGCCTTCTCTTATTGGTTTCATATGTGTTTATAACTTAAATTTGACCACCATACAGAAATTCCGCCTTCATCTGTTAGTAAATGCAGATCGGGAGTTTCTTGACCAGAAAGGTGCACCCCATCGTGATTTCTACAATATCAGAAAAGTTGATACGCATGTGCATCATTCTGCTTGCATGAACCAGAAACATCTTCTGCACTTTATTAAGACAAAATTAAGAAAAGAACCGGATGAGGTAAAATATTTATTTCTTTTATTTAATTTTGAATTCTTTCAGCAGTTGCTTAAATTTTGAACTGTTTTGGGTGAGAGATTAAATTAATCCTGCTTTGATTTTATGATTTTTTTTTTTAGTGGGAACTGTTCAGCAAGTTTCTCTTTATTGATGCTTCTTAATTGTACTACTGCCTTCCACCATGCAGGTTGTCATATTCCGTGATGGAATTTATTTTACACTCAAGGAAGTTTTCGAGAGTTTGGATTTAACAGGGTTTGCTTCACTAATTTTTTTGTTGACATTTATTTTTCTTCTAGTAGTGCAAATCCTCCCATCTCTCTCTCTCTCTCTCTCTATCTCTGTCTCTGTCTCTGTCTCCATCTGTATGTCTCCAATTGTGAACAATTGCATTGCAGGCATGATCTTAATGTTGATCTTTTGGATGTTCATGCTGACAAGAGTACCTTCCATCGATTTGATAAATTCAATCTGAAGTATAATCCCTGTGGACAGAGCAGACTGAGAGAGATCTTTCTAAAGCAGGATAATCTCATCCAAGGTTTGGTGCACAATGAATGGAAATTTAACTACAAGCGTTAAAATGACGAACATAAGAAGTGGTTGTTTGCAAATTTTTAGGAGAATTAAGTTACATTTAGTGAAACATATGAATCAATAGAAAATGTTCTCTTTGATTTTTTACTCCATGTGTAACGGTAGTTGATATATATATGTTACATATATTCTCATTTATGCATGTTTTATATATTTGTTAAAATTTAGAAGTTACTTAAATATATGATCTAGTTTTGACTATAGGTGTTCCTTTCTGAAATGGGAACATGATTGATGATACACTATGGGATCTAGAAGTTTGTTCACTATATGTATATGTGTATATATATATATATATAATATGTATGCATTTCTTCAGTTCAGAAACTTATATTATATTTTGGTTCAGAAATTTTAAGCAATGTGATTTATGTTTTTACCATAGGTGTTGCTTTGGTTAATGGAAACACGAAACACTGGGGGAATTAGAATTGGGAAATGTGACTCACATACTATGAGAAGTACACTAGCAAATTCTGAAGATGGTTAGAAACCTTATCGGAATAATGTAGAACATGTGAAATGATACCAAAATAGATGAAGAAATTCAATTGTTTGTAGATTCTTTTTGGGTAAATAATTGTTAGTAGATTTTATCAAAATCATAGTATCGTACTAAATGTTCTTGTTATTTTGAGGATAAATTATCTTGACCTGCCCAAGGTTTGGGCAATAACCCCTGGATGGAACTTTTTAAATAGTCGTGGTCGACCTCCCCTGGGATTTTATGAAAATACAGATAGCCAACACCTTTAACAGCCGGTGAAGTCTGTTAAATAAATTTCCTTTAAATACCAAAATTAGAAATTACACAAACACACACACACACACACACCACCACCACCACCACCACCATTTCCTTGTCCCACAGCCACCTCTCTCTCTCTATTTCAACCACCAGCACCACATCCTCCCACCGCCACCACCTCGTCAGCTTTTTCTCTCTGCCTCTTTGACTCCCACAGTGCTCAGCAAAGAAGACCCTGTGGTTCACAACCTCACAGTACTCAGTGAGTTCAAACCCTTTGGCCTAGTTGCATAAGCTCTTGACGGAAAGCCTGTCGATAAGGTCTCCGACAAATATGATTACTTTTGACCCTGAAATCACCAGACAGAGAGATGAGACTGATAACACATTGCCTTTGAGTGATCAAAGTGATCATGAGGGAATCAGTGCTTTCATCCCCAAATTTGAATTCACAACTGATGATTCAAAGAGCTGATGATTTAAAGAATTTCAATTGATATTCAGAATCTTGAATGCCAGTGCTTATGGAGCTATTTGAATGTCAGAAGAGTGTGATTGGTTAATTGGCACCAATGAATTGCCATGTTAGTTAAATGCAATGTATGCTGTTCAAGAATGTTTGATTATGGGCAAGTAATGCAATAGAAAATGTGTTTGTCGTGTTTTTGTATATGTTTAGTGAGAGACAATTAGGGTTAGGGTTCCATGTCTATTGAGAGAGAAAGAAGAGAGAAGAGAGAAGAGAGACGAGAGGAGATGATAAGGCTTAGAGTTTATGTACAGAGAAAGAAGAGTTTTCAAAGAGAGAAACTGTATAGAGAGAGTGAAGACTAGGAATCTGACAAACAAAATTACGGGAAATACGCTACTCTAATATGCTATATGGGAGTCATTTTAAAAATAAACGAAGAAACTCCACTAGTAATAGATTATAGGAGACAAAGAAACTCCGCTGGTAATAGATTATTTTAAAATCAGGCTGATATTATTATTATTATTATCTTTTAGAAGTTGTTTAAATAGGAACCAGATTTATTTATTTTTCTTTTCTAACTAGAATAGTAAATCGACTAATGTGTAAAGGCTGTAAGGTTATTTCAAGAGAGAACAATATATCAAAATATAGGTGGATGGTTTTGGATGTATGCATTGAAGGGAAATTGAGGAAGAGAAATGATATTAGACATTCAAGAAGTAGGTGGTGGAATTTAGGGAGAAAGGATATTATTTAAATAAGACGCTCAAAGAAACGTAGAAAAAGCAATTGATGTTGAATAGGATAATCGAATGTATTAAAGATTAATTGAAGAAGTTATTGAAGAATCAGAAGGAAAAGTGCTAGTATATAAAGGAACTTGGCGGCGGGACGACAATACATTGTAGTAAAAACAAAAAAGAATTGTTAAGTTTATGTTAAAAAATTAAGCATGGTTGAAATGCTAACATTGAGATACGTGTAAAGGAGAAATTAAAATGAAGTGGAATTCCTATTTATATAGTGTTTTTGTAGCCAGTGCTACAACATTATTTTTATTTTATATGCATTTTCCTAAAGTGTATTGGTCATTCCTCTCTCTCTCTTTGGATAAGTAAGATATCATTAAAGGCCCTCAAAAAGGGGAGCGAACCCAAAAGAATACAAAGGACGCCCAATGCGACACTAAAATTTCAAGCTATCCACAAAATCCAAAAGATCCCCATAGATTTACAATTTTGCTCATTAACCCAAAAAAATAAAGTGGAGAATATATTATATTTGATAGTCCAAAGTGGAGATTCCTCTCCATCAAATGATCTCCTATTTCTCTCACGCCACAAGCCCCACCATAAACAAAGGCTAGTGACCCTCCAAGCATCTCTGACTCGGCTTGCCACTATACACGCTCACCTAGCCTCTAACACGTCCATCGTGGAATCTGGAAACACCCAAACCATGCCAAACACAACCAAGTACATAGACCAAATATTCCTCGCCTCCGGGCAGTGAATAAGAAGATGGTTCATAGATTCTCCCGTCTAACCGTCTTCTTACACATGCAACACCAGTTCTCCTTCTAAGATTGTTAAGAGTGAGAATGCTTCCATGGGCAGCTGACTAAGCAAAAAAGGCGACCTTCAAGGGGGCCTTTGTCCTCCAAACCGCCTTCCAAGGGAAGGTAGAACCTGGGGTCTCCGCCAGGCTGTGGCAAAAAAGACCTAACCTCAAAGACCCCTATCGGGGTACTCACCCACATCATCTCATCCATTCCCTCACCCTCCACCACCCGACTATAGAGCAAAGCTAGGAACTCCGTGACGTCCATAAGCTCCCCAATCATGAAATGCTCTACGAAAGTGCATGTCCCAAGTAATCCTCCCATCATCAAGTCGATAAACAGTAAGCAACCAGATCATGTTATTTGCAAAGATCCTGAAGAGTTGAGGAAACCTACGAGCCAACACTAAGTCCCCACACTAGTGATACTCCCAAAACCTGACGTGCCTCTCTTTTCGAACTCTGAACCGAATGTGTTTGGAAAACTCATCCCAACCCTTCCGGATAAGCTTCCAAACACCCACACCCGCTGGGGATCTCACCTCCCCAGAAACCCACCCTCCCTCTCCCTCCCCGCATTGACAGGCAATGACCATCCTCCATAATTTGGACCTTTAGCCCCCAAATCTCCAAAGCCATTTTCCTAACAAAGACTTGTTGAACAAATCCAACCTCGTAATACCCAACCCACCCTTCTTTAAAGGGGAATGCACTCTTTCCCTGTTAACTAAGTGGCATTTGAACTCTTCACCTTACCACCCTACAATTTTTTTCTCTGAATCTCCTCTAATCTCCGAACAATAGACATAGGCATCGGGAACAGAGATATGAAGAAATTAGGAAGGTTCGAAAGAGTGCTCTTCATAAGAGTAAGCCTCCCTCCTTTCGAAAGGTATTGCTTCTTCCAACCTGCAAGTCTTCTTTCAAATCGCTCAACCACAAGGTCCCAAACTGAAGTCCTCCTCGACAAGGCTCCCAGGGGTCGCCCCAAAAAGGAGATCGGAAAATAGCGAACACCACACCCAAGAATGTTAGCTAAACCATGAATCTCCTCAACCTCCCCAAGTGGAACCAACTCGCTTTTTCCAATGTTGATTTTCAGCTCTGAAACAACTTGGAAACAAGCCAAAACACATCTCAAGAACCTCAGCTGATCCACTTTCGCAAGAATGAGTTTTTTTTCCCTAAATGAAGAATTTTTTTATAAATATAAACATTATGGTACAATGCAGAAAGGGAAGGCACCCTCACCGAAGACAAAATCCTTTGAGAGGATCACATATATAGAGCAGAGGTATAATCCCTACTTCAACAAGAAAAACTTGTAGAGCTTAGGTTAAGACATCTTGGAGACAGGCCCCCAAGACATCCATTAGCTCCCAGACAATACACTTCAGAAGAGTTCTAGGACACCCAGTTACATCATTGTGACGTCTTCCATTTCTTTCACTCCATAGAAAATACAAACTGGCAGAAAAGATCATCTTGGAGTGCTTATTCCTGAACGATTTCACTGCAAATTGTTGCACCAAATCAAAAGCAAAGTTACTGATCCAAGACTGTTTTCAAATCCTCCATTTAAACATGTCAGCAATACGACACCAGACCTGCCAGGTATAATCACAGGCTACAAATAAATGGTCCACAGTTTCTTCATGCTTACAGCATAAACAGCACACTGAAGCAAGTGAGATGCCTCTCCTCTGCAAATTGGATCCAGTCATTCAAGTATGAGATTATTGGTTCCCAAGTTATACCAATGGTTAAGTTTATATATTCTACCCTTTTTGGCACACCGAATTAGCAGACAGTGGTTTATGGTCTTATTAGCTTTAGTTTACAATAGGTTGTCATGACTAATTTGTCTAAACTGATGTTCTCCAACTCCAAATTTTGAGGGAGGAAAAAGAAAGAAGGAAAAAAACTCCCAACTCTTGAGATTGTTGAAAGATGCGCTGAAGTGGGGGAGGAGAAAGAAGTGCCTGAGATTTCTTCCATTTTGGGATGTTTTAGGTTTGAAAATTTCTGTCTAGACTTCTGCTTTTATAAAGTGGAAAGAATGGGAAGGGTGCCAGTAGCATTGTACAGTATTCATTTGAATTCTAAATGGATTTTGCCACAAGATCCAATGCAAGCTGCCAGCTTGACATCTCATACTTTTGAATAATGCAATTTATCTATTTAAATACATGTTCGTCTTGTCCCTGTGAACTTCATGAAGGTGATTTGTATTAATGTTTACCTCTCTTGATCTTGGGAGCTACCCTCGTACCGCTTTGACGAGCGGCTCCAATAATTTTTAGCTATACATTTCATTACACCTTAGTTGTTTCTTCAATATATTTTAGATTGAATCCATGTACATAAGCTTTATCTTACCACAATATGACAAAAGTGCGTCAGTCCCTTATCAGTTATCACAATAGCAAAGAAGTCGAACTGAAACTGGAATTGTGATAGATGTTAGAAAATCTTTGTGAAACCATTCTTTTGGACCTCTTAATCCATGAGTTTTACTAGGTTCTGGAAAGTGCATATAATATAACAGAGAATTTTGTAGAAATCATTTCTTTGTATGTGGTTGTTGAGAAAAAAAAAAGAGAAGAAAGTAAGAAATGATGTGTCTTGCTTTTGAGGGACGCGTTCCCTGTTTGAACGCTATGTGTCTGTTGCTTTTGAGGGATGCGTTCCCTGTTTGAACGCTATGTGTCTGTTGCTTTTGAGGGATGCGTTCCCTGTTTGAACGCTATGTGTCTGTTGCTTTGAGGGATGCGTTCCCTGTTTGTACGCTTTTTATACAATTTTTGCTTATCAAAAAAAAAAAAGAAAAGGAAAAAGAAAAAGAAAAAGAAAAAGAAAAGAAATGACGTGTCTGTTTTGTTTCAATGGTAGATGTTCTCTTATTAAGTCACTAGGGTAGAGGGAGATTGTTAAAGAAACCTCCTGATCAAATATGTATGGCATATTCACCCTACTAATCTCCCTTGAGGTTGTGATCTCAGCAACACTAGCATATACATTAGGTTTTATCTTTATTTCTGTTTATATTATTACGAGAGAATACTGGTAAGTTACATATTTTCCCTTATTATATTATATCATCTAAAAAATATGGAATATATTTGAAAGTTACAAGGGATGCCAATTTTTTTGGTACCATACTGGACCATTGTATGACATTTCAACAAATCCTGTCAAACCTTCGTTATTTTGTTTTTCCCTGTTTGGGTGTTTAGGTGCAGTGGTAAACATAAATATAATTCGTTTCCTTTGTAGTTTTCAGACTTATTCATTGAGGTGCATATTCAAAACCTTTTCCTCTTCCTTTTTCATTTTCCTACCTAAATTGGTTGACATCTCCTATTATCAAACAGAATCAGAATGTGATGCTTATTTAGACAAGTTTTAGACTTGGAATTGGGGATTGACTATTCGAGATCTAATACGCCAAGTTATTTTTCTTCTTGAATCTTTTTCACCCTCTTATATTATATTTGCTCCAATTTTGCTTTTTTATTTTTTATTTTTTCCATTAGTTTCCGCCATATATACTTATAGAAACCAGGTCATAATATAATGTTGTTGACTTGAATTATGCACAGAAAATATTTGTTAATTTTGATTTTTAAGGTTAACATTTCAGGTCGTTTCCTAGGAGAAGTGACAAAGCAGGTTTTGTCAGATCTTGAAGCAAGTAAATACCAGGTATGGCTATTTATATGTTTATTTTTTTTACATTTTATGTTTTTTTGAGTTTCTTTTCTTATATATTAAGTTGTTTTTGGTTATTTCATTGATGTTGGCAACAAAAATTCAACAAGTCTGTGAACCTCCTTTTGCAAGGAGCTCCTTGTTATTTGGGTAAGTGATGTAGTGCCAAAGTGGCAGCCACGTCGACACCATATGGATCCCTAGGTGGCATAATTGGAAGACTACCCATGTCAACACCACTTGGGTTGACTTGAAATTTGACTTGGAATATACGACTTTTCATTCAACTACCCGCCTAGTATTTAATGTCTTATAAGTTTCCTTTAAGTAATTTATCTTCTTGTCATTTTGTGTTTTGTGTTAAAGTTTTAGCCATATTTAATGATGTAGTAGTAGATATATGGGTGGAGAGATGGAATTTTAGCTTTTTGAATAAAATTAGAGCTTAGATCGTTATCCAGCTTCTTCTATTGGTTGTGTTTTATGTTCTAACTTCGTCTTCCTCACTCTTATCCACCCGCATCATTTGGTATCAAAGGTTGTGGTATGCTCTAAGGCCTACTTCTCTTCACTATTTTTACAGCGGCGAGAATACGTGATAATTGTATGATGATAGACTTGAGAGACGAAAGAGATGATGAACTTCAAACACTTTGAGGACAAGTTGAGAAGCTTACTTTGCGACTTGAATGCTAAGAAGCTCGTAGTAAGCATGGTAGGTTAAGTTGTGGGTCTTCTAGTAACGAGTTCAATGAGGACCCTTTCTCCCATCACGAGGACTCTTGATTTTTGTATGAGAGTGTCCCACACTTGTCCTACATTGTTTTTTGACCAAAGTCTATCTTCTAGGAATATTTGATATTTTTGTGCGTGGCCTAAACGGACTTAGATTATTTTGATTTTTGGTATTTAGGAGTTTTTAGTGATTAGGTTTCGTATTCTATTTATTTTTTTTGTAATTTTTAGAGATAGTTGAATTTTTGGCTTATTTTAGCTTTCCTTTTGTTGTTAGTTTTCTTGTGATGTTATGATGGAGATCAATGGCACAAATCTTTAAAGGTGTATAAAAGGCGCCAAAAGGAGGATTCTAAGATTCGAGCTGGCATAGGCTAGATAGTATGGGTCCACATGGATTTTTGAATAATTGGGAGATTTGGTCAACTTTTTGTTACTTTAATTATGCTATTAGGTATGTATTGATTATCTTAATTATGGGGTAGTCCTAGAGTCAAATATTGATTGCCTTAATTATGGATGATTACTTTTATTATGTTATAGAGTCAACTTTTGATTGAAGGGGTACTCCAAGGGTAATGAGCTGTACTCACAGAATGTTATAAAAGGGGTAGAATGTAATCTTGGCGAGGCAGTGAATGAATGAATAAAAAATATCCTTTGAGATTTATTTGTGAGTGATTCACAAATTGTGGAACAACTTAAAGGGCTGAATGCTCGATGCGATGAGATAGGAGCTTGAATTTCGCGGCCTTTTAACAAATCGGTAGCCCTTGAAGAAGGATCTGCATGTGGTACTAATGATGGCAGAAACCGCGAGCATCAACCACCTATGTTACCCGGACTCGGGTATGGGTGTCGGGCATGGGTACGTGTCTAGAGGTCGGATCCACCAATCTATTCAATTATAGGACACGGGGACACGGAATAAAAGTGTCCCAAATTCGGACACGGGTACCTAGACACGGCATATAACAGAACTTGAACTACTTATTTACATAACTACATAGTTGTGGTTCAACACGTAGTTTACAAAAATTGTCTTCTACCATAGATCATATATAAAATATTCTGTTATGATGGATTGAAGGCCATCTTTTTACTGTATCTCTCTTCTTCTTCTTCTTCTTTTTATTTTTTTATTTTTTTAAAAAAACACCGATCATTAGTTCAATAGTTCTAGAATTTATTATATATTTAGACCCATACTCATATTGGACACGTCTTAATTATTATACAATAATAAAAGTATTACCTATTTATCGCAGTCTCTCAAGTATAGACATTATGTTTTACTCTCTCTCAACAAAAAAGAAAAAGAAAAAAAAAGAGATATATCCTTGTCATTTGTCTTTTAGTTGGTAAGGTAGATGGTTTTTTACAAGAAAAGTAGTGTAAATGGTAAAGTAAAAAGTAACTGCACAAGGCTCTACATATATTGTTTTTTAAATACTACTAAGAAAAGTAAGCAAGTCTCCTAAGACTAAAAAAGATACGAAGCAAATGTAAAAGTAAGAAAAGTCAAAAAGTAAATGCACTGGGTCCAATAAAAAAGTACCCGCACTGAGCCGAATGTGATAAAGGAACGTAGAAACAAAGAAAACGTGGCAGTAAAAATGACCACTCATCTGCCACACGTCAGACCATTAAATATAGAGATGAGTGGCTTGAATTCACTCTCGCATAAAATTAAAAATCGTGTAACAGCCGCGCGTTGAAAACAACCATCTTCAACCTTAAAAAAGCCCTAATTTCTAACCAGCAGACGCGAGCATGTCTTCTTCAGTCATTGATCAGCCGTGTCCAATGGAAGTAAGGGGTGTCCGACCCATATTTCGTGTCGGTGTCCGTGTCGTGTTGTGTCGACACGGACACCCTAACCTAAACTGCTGAGTCCAGGTAACACAGTCAACAACCTTTACACTCTTAACAAAGGTGTAATTTGAAGGTTGATCCACCACTCCATCCCATGTTGGAGTTACTAAGAAATCCATTAGAGGTGAATCATCATGAGCCATATGATGTTGCTCGAGATATTACAAAGAAGTTAAGTGAGAACTCGCCGCACACAAACAACAACAATGCTGCCAAATGGTGGATCAAAACCATCTTTCTCTAACATGGCTAATCAAGAAGGAAAGAGTACTATGGCTAGCAAGGTTAATGAGAACCTGCTTGACCATGAAACCTACAACACTGATGATCCGGAAGAGGATGAAGAGAATGTTCCATCCATCTCTATTGGGAGGAACATCCTCGCAGCCCCTAATGTTGAACACGAAGATGGGCGGCTCACCTCTAATTTTCAGATGCAAGTTCGTTGTGGAAACCAAGCTCGGAAGCCTATTATTGATGGCGGCGGCTGCACACGTGTTGTCTCCATAGCCACGGTTTAGCGCCTCAAGCTTTCAATCCAACCACATCCACAACCTTTCAAAGTGGCTTGGATAGATGGTACTTCAGTTCCAGAAGCTTTTAGGGGGCTCAGGGGAAGATATACTCAGTACTGTGCTGCACATAATCATCTGAAGGCTGTTGGAGTAGAATTTCCACCATGAGAGGAAAATAGTGTCCCGTTGCTTACTCCACAAATCCAGCCGGTGGTTAAGGAAGCTGCTGTTCAAGCCTCTCTTCAGTCCAATGCTTCTGGACTCAGCGTGGCAGGGATTCTAAATGCTCAGGGACTAACAAATTGGTTAATGGAAATGCTTGGTGCCTTGGATGCTCAGAATCGTGAGGGCACAAAGCAAGAGGTGATTGCTGACATTGTTGATCAATGTCATTCTCGCCAAAACCATGTTGCGATACTTGTAAACAATACCGCAGATGAGGAACTTCTATGCAAGAAATTTGCGTTGAATGATAACTTGCAGCGTGTTCTTTGCCAACACGTTAACATTGCAAAAAAAAACCCGTGTGTGGAAGTTGGAATGATAGAGAATCATGAGACAAGAGATGCTTTTTTACTTGGCTTGCCTAGAACTAGTGTAGGACATGATTCTATATCTGTTGTTGTGAATTGTTTTTCAGAAATGGCACATTTCCTTGTGTTCTAAGACTTCTATGCTGTCTACATTGTCAATCCTTTTTTCTAAGACGTTGTCCGATTTCATGGGTTGCACATTACAATTGTTTCTGCTCGAGATGTGAAGTCTACGAGTTATTTTTGGCCCAAATTATGGAAGTTGCTGAATACCAGGCTGGAATTTTCTTGGTTCTTTTCACCCACAAACTGATGGCCAAATCGAGGTTTTTAGTCGTAGCTTGGGTGACTTGCTTTGTTGCCTTGTTGGTAACCATATTACTAGTTGGTACCAGATTCTTCCTACGGCTGAATATGCATACAACATTTCTGTAAAAAGGACCACTGGGCGCTGCCCCTTTGAAATTGTGGCAGGTTTACGTCCTAGGAAGCCAATTGGTTCAGTACCTTTACTAATTCAGGCACATGCTTTTAGTAAGCATATCCAAGATATTCATGTTGAAGTTCAAAGGAAGATTGCGATAAGCAATGAGAGTCACAAGGCACAAGCTGATTGTCAGAGTGGTTATCAGAAGTTCCTTGTTACATGGGAGGTACCTTCCAATTTTGTATTGTACTTGGATTGCTGATAGTGAGTTCCAATATCTAGCTCCTGACCTTTATGAGCAATTTCATCCCTTTATCTCATCGGAGTCGAGTTTTTCCAAGTCAAAGAGAATTGATAGAGATCAATAGCAGAAATCTCTAAAGGTGTATAAAAGGCGCCAAAAGGAGGATTCTAAGATTCGAGCTGGCATAAGCTTTAGATAATATGGGTCCACATGGAGTTTTGAATAATTGGGAGATTTGGTCAACTTTTAGTTACTTTAATTATGCTATTAGGTAAGTATTGATTACCTTAATTATGGGTTAATCCTAGAGTCAAATATTGATTGCTTCAATTATGGGGTGATTACTTTTATTATGTTATAGAGTCACTTTTTGATTACTTTAATTATGGGGTACTCCAAGGGTAATGAGCTGCACTCACAGAATGTTATAAAAGGGGTAAAATGTAATCTTGGTGAGGTAGTGAATGAATGAATAAAAAATATCCTTTGAGATTTCTTTGTGAGAGTGATTCTCAAATTCTGAGGGTGTGGGACATTCTCTAAGTGTGATACCTAGGCCTTGTTGGAGTGATTCCAATAGGGTTGTTTTTTTTTTTTTTTTTTTTTTTGTTTTCCTCAATTCTATTTCTCTACTAGCGACTCTTGAACAATAGCTCTGTTTATCTGAATTTCCAGCCCATAATTCTTATTTGCTTTCTTCTCTTTGAGTCTGTTCTTGTTAGGGCTGCAACTTGGGCGGGCTAACCCAGCCCAACCTAACCCCAACCCAGGAATTTTGAAATTTAGGCTTTAAATTCACAAATCGGGCTCATGTTCGGGTTAGATTTTATCAAAACCCAGACATATTCGAGTCGGGCTCGGGCTTAACTCGAACCCAACCCAAAACCCAAAATAATTTTTTTTTTCCTCCTTTCTCTCTCGTCTCTCTGCTTTCTCTCTCTTCTTTCTCTTTCTCTCTTTGCCGCCGCCGTCCCTCGCCCTCAGCCGCTGATCCACCGCCGCTGTAGTCCCTCCGCCTCTGCCGCCGTCGCCGTCACTTCCAAAAATTAAATAAAACCCATACATACAAGTTAGCAGTTGTAGAGAGAGAGGGGGGCAAGCTTGAGAGTTCAGAGACAGTGGCTGAAGCTTGCGAATGGCGAACCCGAACTGGAAAAGGGGTGATGGAAACTGATACGGGTTTTGATTTTTTGAGCAATCTGAAATGATATGTCGATATGGGTTTTGAACTTTTGATTCTTGCAGACAGATAGACAAACTGAAATATATGGGTTTTGAACTTTTGATTCTTGTAGATTTTGTAGTTTGCAGTTGCAGAGAGACTGTAGGGGTGGCAAAATTCGACACGACTTGCCAACACGACACGAGTTAAATGGGTAATGGGTTTACTATAAACGGGTTCTTGTCGTAAACGGGTTGACACGATTAACCCGTTAAGTTAAACGTGTCGTGTTATGGTTTTAGGGCTCAACCCATTTAACCCGTTTTGACCCGTTTAATTAAATGTGTCACCCGTGAACTCGTATAATCCGTATAACCTGTTTTGACCTGATAGGGGACATTTTGGTCATTTCATAGTATACATAAGAAACCCTATTGTACATATCACATTATCACTATACGCCTTTAGTCATTAGACTTATTACGCAGCAGCAGATATTTTCTCTCTCTTCTCTTCAGTCTCTCTCTCCTCTTTCTTCTTCAAAGTTCAGACGAGACAACTCCCTTTCTCTCTCAAATCCTCGATTTTTCATTTTTTCCTTAGAGAAAAATCATCTCTATCATCGATCTATCTTCAGTCCAGTCTCCAATCCTCCATCTCTATCAGCGATCTATCTTTTTGTTGCACCTGATTCTTCTACAACTCAGTGAACTCACCCGGATCTATCTTCTTGTAAAATACTAAAATTATATATGGTTTATCTAAATATTGTTTTAGTCCTCCTCTCTCTATCTAAATTTGACAAGATTTGCTCAATATCTGATTTTTCAAACCCTCCTTCATAGTCTTGGGTTTCTGGTCGAATCGATCTTGATTTGTGAGTTCTTATAGAGATATTAGGGTTATTTGTTTCGTTAGAAAATATTTTGCAGCTTTTACGATTGCATAGTTATATCAAAGTTTTGATGCCATATTTCTTGGAATTTTGTTGTGTTGAATGAGTTCTTGAGCAAGACAAAGATTTTTTTGTGTTTTTCTCTGAACGATGTTCTTCGCTGGTTTGAAACTTTTTTGTTGAATTAAATATTTAATTATTATAATTACAAATTATGAGGGAAAATTTTGTTCTTTCCATATAAATGATTTGATCTTTAAAAATTTCAAGGTATGATTATCCATTATTTTTCATTCATGGACTCTCTTCTCTCTTACACGTGAATTCCTACAATATTAATTTGAAGTTTCGGTAAAAACTGTTTTTCTTTTATTTGGAAGAAAAAAATATGCCATATTTATTGGAATTCTGTTGTGGTGAATGATTTATTGGTGATTGGGTGGTTTTTACTTTTTATGTTGATTATGATGGTTGAGCAAGACAAAGATTTTCTGTGTTTTTCTTATATTGTTGTTCTTTGCTGGTTTGTAACTTTTTGTTGAATTAATATATGTATTTTTTTTTTTCCTTCATATAAAATGGTTTGAACCAAATGCTTTCTCTAATCAAAATTATTAACTAAAGACAAATACAGAACATAGAATATAATACTTGGCCACATTTAACAGGTTAAGTTGTTAAACAGGTTAAACGGGTAAACATGTTAAACAGGTTGTGTTTGGTATATCTAACACGACTCGTTTATTAAATGGGTTACACGTGTCGTGTTGTGTCACCCGTTTAATAAACATGTCGTGTTCGGGTTTAGGATATGTGGCACGATTATTAATCGTGTCGTGTTTGAGTTGACATGTTTAGTGTTATACCCTTAGGTCGACACGACACGATTATGACACGCGAACCTGAATTGCCACCTGAGAGAGAGAGAGAGAGCAAGTTCAGAGTCGAGAACGAGAATAGAGATGGAGGCGATTGGGGAGGCTAAAATGATTTGCCCTAAAAATATTTTGTTTTTTAATAATAATATAATCAAATATATATAAATTCCCCGGGAAAAAAAAAAAAAACTCAACCCATTGGACCCAACCCGACCGAAAATATTCGGTCCGGGTTATGACTATAACCTATGTTGGGTACAATTCGGGCTGGCCCAACCCAACCCGTTTCGGGTTGAGGTTGGATTAGGACTGGGTTAGGTTGGGCCAGCCCAACTTGCAGCCCTAGTTCTTGTCCTACATCATGTTAGTTTTCTTTATTTTAAATGTATGTACTGCACAGAACAGAATATTCATTGATTAATAAAATTTCAAAATTCTCTTTGCTAATACTTTGTGGATTCAAGGTCGTTTGTTGTTCAATCTTGAACGTTCATAGCTTCCCCTTTGTCACATTTTATTAGCCAACTATATTGAGTACTGAATCTTGTTTTCATTCCCTTCCTTCTACCATGATGATCGACGTGTTACCCAGACAATGACTCCAAGAGACTAAGGTTGATTGAGGGATGATATACAAAACAGTCTCTAACAAAGAGAAGTGAGAAGGGCTAGCTATGGGTTGATTTGGTTGCTCTGTTTTCTAGCTCAACACTTGGGATGTGATGAAAAACAAAGTTTGCTAACTAGATAAACATTTTTGTCTTGGGTGAGCAAACAGAATATAATATATGCAAGGCGTACAACAGTTTTTAAAAACACAAGAAACAAGAGTTAAAAAAGGATAGAGAAATTGAAAACACACAAGACACAAGGATTTACAAGGTTCGGCACCTGCTTACATTCTTGCCTCCAAGAGAGCCTACCGAGGATTTTCAAATCTCACTATCACTCTTTTCTTTACTAGGTAGAGAAGAAACCTTTACAATGGTCCATTTCGCAGGCTCAAGACCAGCCTTTCTTTTACCAGGCTGAGAAGAAACTTTTTTTTCCCTGAGGAACAACACTCGTTCAGACTTCCAGAAGGTGCACGACCTTCAGTTCTCTTCTCAAAGAGATATACAATAAGCTCAATATGGATGTGTCCCTTCTTGGACAGTTATACAATGAAATTCCTCACTTCAAATTTCTCTTAAAAGAAAGATATACAATCAGCACACTCGTCTCTATAGTAAAGGATGAAGCAAGTAATCTAGCTCAACTTCTAGAGATGATTTCTAAAGACTTATTCAGATATTCAATGATAATTGAAGAGTCTTGTTTTCCTTCTTTTCTCTCAAAGCTTTTCAAAAGATTTGAATGAAATTTGAAAAGCTTCTTCTGATTTTCTCAAAGAGCTCTACAGGGATTTCTACAATGAAACTTATGCTGCAACTAATGCTGATACATTCCTCCAAGTGACCCTTTATGACTACATTGCTCTTGCTACATTCTGGTTCCTTAAAGTGAAACTCCAAGTGACCCTTTATGACTACATTGTTCTTGCTTTTTGAATTTGAATTGAAATGAGAGAGCTGAGTCAATTTTCCTTAGGGGGCAAGAAAATAGTTTGTCTTTTTGACTGGGTCCGGTTATTATATCCTATAGTTGAACATAGAATCATCTTGCAACATAACCAATACTTCACATTGATTCTAACAGTCACCAACCCAAAATGCCCCATGGTCTTGAACTTGATCTTCAATAATTGTAGTTCCTTCGCCATGTGCTGGGTTCAGCTGTAAGCTTGAGTCCATGTGCTTGATTTGAATATTGTTTGATTCACCATCCATGTTTCAACTTAATTACTTGAGATTGAATATAAATCCTTAAATTCATTACACTCAAGTAGGCCGTTAAACACTCACATTAATAGGTTGTTATCATCACAATCACCAAGTTTCACTTGGCTTGAAACCTTGGGGCTAACACCATGTTCCTGTTAACAATGGGTGGATGTTTGGTTGTCACTATTGTCATTATTACTCTCATTGCTTTTGCAGAGAAGGAAATGATTGCGTCAGTGAACCTTAAATTCAGATTTTGGGGTTTTACATTCTCTATTTTTCCTTTTTGTTTGTGTTGCTACTCTTCTCACTTCTGAACAACCATCCATGAGTGCTACACAAATGAGTGGAAAATTGTCTGCTCAGCATAATGCAATAGTTATGCCAACTTGGCTTCAAACATTATTGTTGTTTTCATATTAAAGGAAGATTTTTGTTGGTGAACATTAACTTCAGATCCTGGAATTTTTCTTTCTCTATTGGGAAAATAATGTTGGGGGGGTGGTTCGGTTCATTCAGGGAGACTGGTCTTTATTTGTTCGAATTGGCACTTTGTACCTCTTACAGCCGTTCCTTACAAAAACGGCATGCATTGAAAAGTTCTTTACATGCAATAGTTACACTGGTTGGGCTGAGAATTAATTGAATCTCTTTAGACTCTATAAGCTTGGTAATATTGAACTCTAAAAACACTGTAGAGAGTTTAAAGGTGATTTACCCATTATAGAATTTTATTTATTGCTTGTGTGTAATTTGTTTGTTGTTTGCACAAGAATACTTGCAGGAAAGTCTAACATAGGTCATTCTTTGTTTTCTAGATGGCTGAATACAGAGTGTCGATATATGGAAGGAAACAAAGTGAATGGGATCAACTAGCAAGTTGGTTCATTAACAATGCAATTTATAGCGACAATGCTGTTTGGCTAATCCAGGTAACTTAAATTGTCGGGGTTTTTAGTGTAGCTGTGGTATTATGTGACTGACATCAAGTGTTCATCCACATTGTTGGTGTGTGTCATTTAAATTCATTGTCTTGATTTCACCGTTGTTTTAATTGATGATATAATGATGTGAGAAATCAGAAATCACTACAATTTCTTTCTTTCTTTATTTTGGTTAGAGGGGTGTCTCCACCCTTTGGGTGAGAGACTAGTTTCCTCCAAACACTTGGAAGACCCCATTGCATAAGAGCCAATGTTAGCCTAAAGAAATTTCCTGTGAGGCTGGCCTTAGGCTAAAGGAAGAGGAGAAATCACTAAAATTTATGGTCTTGCACATGTGGTCATGTCTATTTATTATTTATTGGTATCTTTGTGAACCTCAGTTTATTACTGTGGGGCTTGAACCCACCCAAGGCCCCTACCTTGAGCACGAGAACCTCGTCCATAGTTGTTAAAGGCTCAAGGCGCACAAAAGCGCAAATGCCTCCTGGAGCCTGAGGCGCAAGGCGAGGCGCGCGCCCGACTGAAGCGAGGCGCACGTTGAAAAAAAATAAAAATAAAACCCACCCAATAAAGTCAACATTCAGAATTATAATTTTTCACACTAAAACATTATTTAAAAGGTGGATTGTACATTTAAATTGAAGCAAATTGTAAAATTTGCCGTCAAGGTTTGACAGAATTATAATTTTTATATAGAAGATATATATATATATATATATATATATATATATATATGGGTGTGTGTGTTTATTATATATATGCGTGTGTCAGCTTTTCTACACGTGCAACCTAATACAAGATTACAGAAATGCACAAACTCACTCAATGACTTTTTTTTATCAGTGTCAAACAATTAAAAAGAATAGACATTTCTGGACTATCACAATAAAACTGTTTGGATTAATTAATTACTGTAAAACAAAGAATATAAAAACAGAGACAAGCATAAAAACAGAAACAGATTGATCATCAAAGTTCAAACACATGCAAGGCACTATTCTAGACAAGCATAAAAAAAAAAAAAAAAAAACAGAGGACCAGAATAAATAAATAAAAAATAAAAAAATAAAAGTAGAGCAGAGAGAGCTGAGAGAAGAAGAATAGAGAAAAATAAAATAAAAAAATAAGAAAACAAAAGAAGAGCCGAGAGAGGCGAGAGAAGAAGAAGAAAAGAAGAACAATAAAATTAAAAAATTAAAAAATAGAGATAAATAAATAAATAAATAAATAAAAGAATAAAAGAAGAGCAAGAGCCGAGAGAGGCTGAGAGCCGAGAGAAGAAGAAGAACTGAAGAAAAGAAGAAGAAGAATAGAGAAAAAAAAAAAATCTGAGAGATCCGGGCCTCCGGCAGATCTGAGAAGAGAAGAAGCAAGAAGGAGAGAAGAAGAAGAGAAGAAGAAGAGAGGGAAGGAGAACTTACCTGCAGACGCAGATCCGAGAGTCTCAGTCCAGGCTTCGCAGATCAGGCTCTTCACTCTTGTCTTGTACTTCTCTGTCTCTTCTTTCTTCGCTTTTTGGTTCTCTTTTCTTTTTCTTTTTTTTTGTTTTGTAACTTGTAAGTCTTGTATAGGTTTTGTAATAAACAAATAAATACTAAGAATAAACAAATAATAAACCATACACATCCAAAATAATAACAAAATAATTTTAAAAAAACTATTTTTCAAGCGGGCGCGCCTTTAGCGCGCCTGTAACCTTGCGCCTTTCTCTTAGAGGCGCTCGCCTACTACAACAGAGTCGCCTTAAGCCTTTCAAGGCGCCAGGGTGGCGCCTGGAGGTGCCTTGCGCCTCAGGCGCGCGCCTTCGGCGCCTTTAACAACTATGACCTCGTCTCTTTGCCACTTGGGCTAAACACCTGTGGTGATCATTTTCAATTAAATCTATGTGTTTAAGGATATTTCGGTAGTAATAAATTATGGGGTGTGCAGAGATGACACGGTCCTGGAGGCCGATAACAGGGTTACTGTGTAATATACTTGGCACATGCTGGAATAGTCTCTCTGAAAATGTTGCAATAGTCTTGAATACAGAATAGGAGCTAGAGCGGACACATTCTAGCTAGTTCCAGGACAGCAGTGAAGGCCCTCCCTTCCAGGATAGTTGAGGATGTGCTTCCATTTTTTGTTGTCATTATATGATGAGAAACCTCCAAATTATCACCATAGTTGGAGACAATCAGGTGCAAGGCCTGGAGTTCTCATGTGTGATTGCGTGTTCCTTAAGTGTATGCTTATTGGGCATGGCATTCCATATTTTATGGGTCACATGTTTGGACCAAAGATAAACCAAAGAAGGTAGTACTTTTCCAACTGGACCCAAACCAATGTTGCCACTGCAAGGTACCTAAAAAAAAAATGGTAATGTGAGGGTTTACATATGCCTTGTTACTACAGTATTGGTAAAATATCAAGACCAAGAAAAGGAACTGTTTTGCAGTGGGTTACAAGTGAAAACGAATAACGGAATCTATTTTGCATCAACATGATCCAGAGTATCTCCATTTCCAGCACTGTCTAGTAATGCCTGATTTCTAATATGATTTTTCTGTTCCTCAATAGTTGGCTTACATAAAGAATTTTCTTTCAGGTTTTGCATTGTTGCTTTACCCATGCAATTTTTGCAAATAATTTGCTTTATAAGTATTGGGATTTTAGTAACCTAACAAGTATTTTCATGTTCACTACAACTGCAGTTACCACGGCTATACAACGTGTACAAGAGCATGGGAATCGTTACATCCTTCCAGAATATTTTAGATAATGTGTTCATTCCACTTTTTGAGGTCACAATTGATCCAAACTCTCATCCTCAATTACACGTGTTCCTAATGCAGGTTTGTTCACTTGTTAATGTACCCTCGCTGAGGATTTATTACTGTTTCAAGTTTTTAATTGGTTTTAATGGTGTTGGTTGTTTAAACTTTCTGCTTCCATATGATATTGTCTCATACTTCTTTTTTATCCATCAGGTTGTTTTGTGGTTTCGTAAGATGGTTTTTTGGTTGTATTAACAGTAATTTTCATCTGTGTTTTATATTCATGTTAATCATTTGGTATGTACTTGCTTGGCTTGCCTATGGCAATGTATAATGGCTTTCTGAATCTATATTGGAACTCAAATTGATTAATCTAAGCACAATTGGAAAGTATATATCAGAGGAAGGATTAAAAGAGGTGATGATGAAAATTTACACTACTTGTGCTCATTTCATCTGTTAATACAAAGTTTCAGAAGGTTAAAGCTGTCATTAATGAATATTGTCAATTTACATTTTCAGGGACAAGACTAATTCTTAAAACCAATTTACTTATTAGTTATTGCAAATTCTAAGAATTTAAGGCTAACAATACAAAGAATTATATATTAATTTATAGGTCCATATGACATCGGGTTTCTAACGAGTTACAACAAACTGCCACATTAGCAGTATTGCCATGTCTTGTTATTACTATAGGATATCTTGGTCCCTGTCTTGATATCCGAAGTGCTGGACACTTTAGTTGATGAACACTACATTTCCCATCCAAAAATCTAAATTAATATACTGAAACATGTTGAATTTACATCAATGATGCTTTTGTAAGTTGAGGAAGACCTTTGCATGAAACGATCTTATCTTTCACCTTTTGTTGAATGAAGTGTTCACAAGCAACTGCTATAAATTAAGTATGCATGTTATCTCATTCCCTTGTGTGTTATTAGACTTCTCTCCAGTGGCGGAGCCAGAAATCTTCATCAATGGGGCCAATCTTGAATAACAGTAGGATTAAAATTTTTGTTAACCAAATAGGGAAATACAAAAATGTAAATACCGAGGAAAAAAAATATAAAAATATAAAAGTCAAGTGTCCTCAAGAAATTTTTATGTTTTAAAATCTGTATAATAACTTTTTTGTCAATATTATATATAATATATATCGTAATATGTATAACCAAACACAAACAATGGATTAGGAAGAAAGTAGCCTGTGTGGGGTATTAGCGAAAAAATAAGAGAGCAGGGGTGGAGCCAATGTAAGCCTGGGGTGGGGGCGCATGTGCCCCCCCTTGCCTGGCCCCACACACTATAATATATGTAATAATAATATATATTTTTTAATTTTTCCATATATATGCCAAATTCCATATAGTGCCCCCCTAAATTTTTTATTTTCTTTAATTTCCTTTAAAAAAGAAGAAGTTAAATTTCCCTTCTTGAATCACACACTAATTTTTTTCCTTTCAAAATTCTCTCATTTTTCTTTGCTTCTTGAATAGCATATTATTTTGCAATGATTTTTTTATATTTATTTTATTTTTATTTTTTAACACTATGCCCTCCTTGAATTGAAATCCTGGTTCCGCCCTTGAGAGAGAGTAAACTTAGGTGGTATGGACATATTCGACCTATAGATGCACCAATGAGGGGAGGAAAATTTGATTTGCATAGATAAAAGAAAAAGAGGTCGACTAAAATTAACATGGAATGAAGTTATAAAAAACAGTTTTTTAAAAAATAATCTAGTAGGAGAAATGGCTTATAATAGAAAAAAATGAAAAAAGAGAATCCATGTGGTCGTTTCCTTTTGTATGGGATAAAGGCAAGAATAATGATGGTGATGATGTATAACCAAATATGAAATTGTTATTGTGTTTTTTTTTTTGGTAGAAAAGAATTAAAAGAAAAAGTTTAGACCTGAATTACAAGTCATTAGACAAACCTAGTCACCAGGGTGATGTTTCATAAAATTGAAAATTAAGTACTTGAAATTTTAAAAGCTGAATTTTAATTGTTCAATATGAATTAAAATTTTTATTTATACTTATTAGAATTTTAAGCATTTAGTGCTTAAAAATAAACGGTCTCATTCACCTAAAATTTAAAGTGAAATTAATTTCTAATTGCTATATTGCATTGTCAAATACACTTAATCAAATAATATTTAATTTATTCAGAATTAGTGATGAATTGAGTTATCAGACAAAATGCACTTAATTGCAATTCCATTCGTTGTCTTCTTCTTCTTCTCTCTCTAGTGCCTTTGCCCTGAGATTTTAAGACAAACGGTAATCTATAATTCTATGGGTGCATCTTTACAATTTTTTTTTGATAAGTATGGGTGCGACTTTACAATTATAAATAGATAAACCTAAGAAGTAAGAGAAACAAAAGGAGTTCAGTTGGGGCAACTGAATTTACCTATCTAGAATAGATCAACTTTTTTTTTCTGGCAATTGCCCATTGTTTTGTGTTAAGATATTTCTTATAGGTCAGTTTCTTTACCTGAGCGAGTTTCTTCTCCTTATGTTTCAAAAAGGTATCATGTGTGGGTCACCTGCATTCTAGGGAAATTTTAGCATTAATATTGTTGTGTGATCCTTAAATTCAAAACGAAGGAGTAATATTTATTCTATTGTTATCTGGATTATAGTTTTTTTTTTTTTTTTCATCTTTCATACAGCTTTCACACAATTTGAGTCGCAAGTTTACATATCACGTATGCGATCACATTCTCTTTCACATTATGAGAAGTCCTCCGCAGGTGTCTAATATGGTTTATCTGGTTGTCGATATAGGTTGTGGGTTTGGACCTTGTAGATGATGAGAGTAAACCAGAAAGACGTCCAACCAAACACATGCCCAAGCCGTCTGAATGGACGAATGAGTTCAATCCCGCATACTCTTATTATGCTTATTATTTCTATGCGAACTTCTATACGCTCAATAAGGTTTGTACTATAATTTTTCTTGACTTCCATATATGTGTTGGTGTAAAAATTTGTTCTTGGATTTCAATTATGGGAAAAAAAGTTTGTTTTAATTTATGCTTGTACATGCTGTAAAATTTGTTCACTGTTGAATTACTAGTTTTTGAGTGGAAAACAAAAACTCTACATATGATTTCACTTTTCTAATATTTTTGTTATTGATATTACAAACTTGAAATGGATGAAAGTTCCATCCAATCACTATCCTAGCTCAGTTAAATTGATGCAAGTGAAGTCTGATATGTATTAATTTTGAATTGTGTCAGTGCGTAGGGAAACTTTGAAGTTCCTGGATTCTTCCTCGAACTTGATCCACTTTGAAGTTAGGCCTGCCAAAATACTACTTAAACTTAGAGCCGTAGAACCATATCATATATTAGATTGGAACTGTTGGCAGTATTTATGCTGTTGTAGTTGTAAGGCAGGAAATATTGAGGGTGACATTCAACTTCAACATTTTTGGCATTCTTAATGTTCTATTTTGCAAGATTGAGACTTCGTATTATTTTCAACTATGTGGAGAAATTCTTTTGAGAACTATGTCAATTTTCATACTCTATATTATTGATCCATAAATTCTTTAGAACATTGTATCCTGATTCTTTGAATATTGATATTTATGTAAGTTTGTATATGAGTGTACAAGTTAAATACATGATGAGATTTAATTCCTGAAAATATGGCTAACATGTAATGTATAGCAAATGCAGTATTTGGAATTCAAAACATATTGTTGATAATCGCGCCACGAGGGCTGTCCGAGTGGCGCCACCTCTGAAAGTAAGCACACCTGGCCAATACTTATTTGGCATGCCCACTGAAGGGACCAAGTAACCTCGAGTTACTTGTCCCACGACTGGACTCGCTGGCCGAGGAAGGGGTCGCTACCTTTCCTCTCTTGAGGACGCGCCCCACTCCAGTTGGATGGGCCCCTCCTCCCTACTCTTCCGAGGTTGCTTCCTGCTGGAGCGATCTCGAGCTTTCCTCTTTGTAAATTTCCCCTTCTGGCTAGAAGGGCCTTGAGATGTAGAGTTAGGGTATGACCTTGCGAGGTCAAGAAGGCAGGACCTCGAAGAAGGTTCATTCCCATTCTGGATTCGGGAATCTGAGGACATGTGGACAGGTGGCTGGGATCCGAGGTATCGCCTCAGTCCGAGGCCAATACAAGGGGGACAGGACATTCGGTATCCAAGCTCGAGCTAGGAGTGATAAAGAGTGCATTAATTACGAAAGACGTTTGACAAGATTTGTATTAATTAAGGAGCGCCATTACCTCTTTGGACCGGGGGGCAAAGTGTCGCGATCCATACGTCAACATCCCATCTGTCTGGAGGGGAGACCCTCAAACCCTTGGGTAAGAGCGGGCTCACCCGAAAGACTGAAAGACATTGACCGAGGGAGTTAGCACTATAAATAGGGGCATTAATCAGCCTCTAAAGGTAGACAACTACCACCTTAATAGCTAGACATAGTCGAGCTCGTATTCGTTGGATACCGAGGTCGGCCTTCCCTTTCTTAATCTTTATTGTAAAAGAGTCCCTTGTATTGCTTGGATCTCCACTTGGATACTGATCTCAGATCTCTTGGCTTACGTGGAACGATCTCCTCATCCTACAAAGAACTACTTTCAACACATATATAATGTATGATACAGTGTCTCTTGCTTTGCTTCAAAGGAGTCCCAAAAATAGGCATTTTTTTTTTTTTTTTTTAAGTAGTTAGCCTTTTGGGAAGTTGGCCACTTGGATCAGTCTTCTCCAGTTGACTCTATGGCTTTACACAGATTCGAATGGAGGATATAGATCTATTTAATTGATACCAAGTAGTTTCACTAAGGCTAGCTAATTTGAGTTTCTCTTTTGGGAGCCACAAGATCTGTCATACTCATGGTTCCTCTTTCACTCCGGACACTTGTTCTGTCATGAAAATATTACTTTCTTGTCTTCTCTAATCTGGATTTGGCATTCAATTGTCTCCATATGCTATTTTTGCTGACAACTGCAGCAATAACTGTTACATATTTATTAATTTTGCCAATTCTCATATTTGTCTCGAAGGGTCAAGGAAAAAATGAGCTTATTTCGGTGATGGAGACTTGAGTTATGATTCGCATGCATGAGCTGCACGTGTTTTGTCTCTACTTTTGGAGAAGGGTCAAAGATAGATGAAATTAGGGACTTGATGTAATTAGGGTTTAACTTTATTTGTTTTGGTAGTATTTTTAGTTTAGGGTTTTTTGGGTTTGGTCATGATCTTGCTTAAATAATGTCTACAATGTAATTAAAATTTTCAATTATAATTAATGGAATATCGATTATCGTATTGTTTAGATTTCTCTCGTCTTTTTTTCTTTCCCCTCTGTTGTTGCTCTTCTCAATCCTTTAATCTGCCCATCCTATCTATTCACTCTATCAACCTCATATAAAATGCATTTGAAATTATGACCTCCTGGAAACCAATTGCTATAAAAATCAGTGTTACTGCATGATCAATGGATATACATGTGGCATTTGAGTTTTATCATCTAATCATATGGCCATGCACACTCAAAGAAATAGATTCAACCTTTCCCCTTCCTTCATCCTTTATAACTCACAGAAATCTTAATAAATATGATGCATATATCCCCCAAGGGGTTGGCCTAGTGGAAAAGGCTTGGGCCCTGGAGCCTCATTAAGCTTCAGGTCTCAAGTTTGATTCCCCTTAGGTGCGAGCAATTTTTTGGGGCCACGACCGCGGATATAGTCCGAGTTTTACCCGATCCGTGTGGGGGGGTCGCCTTATACAGGTCCCGTGGATTAGTCGAGGCAAAGCCCCGGACACCCCGTTTATCAAAAAAAAAAAAAAAAAAAAATTGATGCATATGCATGAGAAGAGTGTTTGGTTGTGCCTCAATTGAAGTTTAATTTCCACAGAATCATTTAAATGTGCTATTGTAGAACCAACTAATGATAATTTATTCTAGTGTTCTCTTGCACGGCATAGTTGTGTTACTTCTGTAAAGCTTGTGGGCAACACATGAAAGTGCACTGGTCCATTAAGTTTCAGCAAATTATTTTTTCAAGTTTTGTTGTTACAACAAGTTTTATTAGTTAAAGCTGATATCTGGTGGTATTGGGTTTCTATGGTTGGAGGATTAATCTCACTGGTCCAAGGCAATAGCACTAGTGTGTTCTGTTCCTCATGTTGTATCTCTCTCTCTCTCTGGAGGGTTGGATAATGTATTCTGCTGGATCATAATGAAATTGATTTTGTTTATCTTTTTCTTCCTAGCTTCGTGAATCAAAAGGTTTGCCAACAATCAGATTCCGGCCTCACTGTGGAGAGGTTAGTTAGAGTTTGCCTTCATTTCACCTTTCTTTCATGGTATTTGAAAATTTAAATCATGTTTGATATATCTACAATCTGCTCAGGCAGGTGACATTGACCATTTGGCTGCTGCTTTCCTTCTATGCCATAATATTTCTCATGGTATCAATTTGCGGAAGTCTCCCGTCTTGCAGTATCTGTATTATCTTGCTCAGGTTAGTCACTTAACTGGCTCTGCCATGTTATTCTTGAGAAAATGTGTGTTAGCCCTGATATAGAATATGTGTGGTGCATCCCTTGTATATTGGAGAAGGTAAAAATATGCTTGGGAATGACAGTAATTATTCATTAGTTGCCAACTGGAGAACATCATGCAAAACCCATCATGATCGTATCATTTTTATTTTCCTTTCTATAATAGTTAAGGTTACATTGAAATTGTTTTTGCTTTTAGTAGAAGACATCATCCTGGTGGATATGTAAAACTCGTTCTATTCCAGTTCGGAGTTGATGGATTATCCATCTAGTCTCCTCTTTTTACCATTTATTAAGTATCCATACATTCTTTTGCCCTTTTGTTGGAAATATGTAGTGACTGACCTTATTTTTCAGATTGGATTGGCGATGTCTCCACTGAGCAATAATTCCCTTTTCCTTGATTATCACCGGAACCCGTTTCCTATTTTCTTCCAGCGTGGCTTAAATGTTTCACTCTCAAGTGATGATCCCCTGCAAATCCATTTAACAAAAGAACCTCTTGTAGAAGAATATAGTGTTGCAGCAAAGGTTGGTTTGTTATATGTCTGTCATTGGTCACAGTAATGGTCATGGTGTTGTGTCTTACATATTTAAAAATATTTCAGGTATGGAAGCTCACTTCCTGTGACCTCTGTGAGATAGCAAGAAATTCTGTCTATCAGTCTGGATTCTCGCATGCAGCTAAGGTAAGAAATTTGAAGAAACAGCAAATTTTTTTTTTTTTTTGATAAGTATAAATATATATAAAAAAGAAACAGCAATTTATAAGTGTCTGTAAACATTCTTATTCATGGCTTGTAGATTATAGTGCAAGTCAATTTGCTGAAATCCATTCAATTTTATATATTATTCACTTTTTAGCTAGGGAGTCGCTATTCACACTTCAATAACTCTTTTGCACTCCACATTTAATCTGATAATTTTGAAAGATTAAATTTCCCTTCCATTACTTATTAAAAACGGTATTTATTTTTTTTTATTTTTCTTAGTTGGTACTCATACAGACATGCCTCCATTGAGGCTTGAACCCCTGACCTCCCTTTGGGAAGTAGGAACCTGGTACCGCTAGGCCACTAGCCTGTATTTTCTGTGAATAAAAACTTTATTTACCTCTGTATTTTCTGTGAATGCATGCTAGCATCTCCTTCTCTATTCCTCGGGCTATCCTCTGATACTGTCATCAAACTTCAAAGTGATATATACTTGTTGCCAGAAACTCTCATACCATCCAAACTCTCTTTTAGATTTACTGCTCTGTTTTGGTAACTGTTGTGTTCTTTACCTAAGTGGCAACTTCCATGTTGGCCCTGATTCTTCAAAGCTAAAATGTTCCTTTACGTGGGTTTTCATGGTTTAATATCCGAATGGTGAAATTAAATTTGGGAGGAACATATAGCAAGGATTAGTAAAGAATCAAAATTTCCTCCTTTTTAATAATGTGGTTTCTTGTTAACACATCAGGTGAAGAACATGACTGTTGAGCCGAATGGGTTGTGGTAAGGAATGAATGAGAGTAAAGATAGGGAAAATGATAAAAGACTTCCAGTAATAGAGGTCAATTCGTCTAATAGATGGGGGAACTGAGGTTTTTAATACTACAGTCAGAGATGGCATTAGTGGTTGCATTGGTGGCATTCCAGGATCATTCTGGTAGATATGGTGGTTCATTTAACTGAACAGATGAATGGGTGGATGGTTACAATGACTAGGTTTACTATCTGATGATGGAAAATATGTCTGTCATCACAGTTAAACAACAAATGGCGGCCTCCACCCCCTTTATCTTCTTCTTGATTTAGCTTTACTTGTTTGGGCAGTGCAATGGGGATGAGAGCAAGATCTGAAAACTTCCTTTGGGGGAGTTTTTAAGAGTGACGACAAGAATGTTTATGGATGACTTTTCTGTGGATGAGAGACATGCAAGAGGAATACTAGGGAGTGCTAGTAGTGCCTCCTTTTAGCTAATAGTTAGTATTACTTAAAGGACAGTGCTGGCTTGAGTAGCTTCGTCAAACCGAGCAACTTCCAATCTCATACCCAACCATGTAGATATAAAGTGTGTAATATTTCTCTCATCACATCAAGACAAGAAGAATTCCTGATATTAGAGGACCTTGAACTCTTGTAATCCTCTCATCGTCGACAATAACAGCATAGTGTTGAAGGATTATGTTTTGAACTATGCAGGTTATTGGAAATTCTCTCGTTACTAAATGAAAGAATCTTATTTTTGAGCAATATTGGGAAATTTTCAATAGAACAAAATTGATAATACTGAACAACTTCTCTCTTTTTTGTATTGGGTCTGTGGCTGGAGTTGAGGATTGATTCATCTTCATTTGTGTGGTTAAGAAGGACACTAAGTTTTTCATTGAGCATAAGAGATGCAAAAAGTCTTTCAAACCCGGCTCACAAATCATAAAATTAGAGATGTGCTGCTGATTATATGATAGGCTCGACTTGTTGCTTGGTTGGAGGGAATCTCATCCTACTCTGTTTGGAGCCAAGTAATTCTGTCTTTTACTGAAATGACATATGAGAAGTATGGCATACTGTACTGATTCACGGCTGGTCCTATATTTGTGTAATCAAGAAATAATTTCAGACAGTGCTCCTCTCATATCAGTAATACATGCATAGTGATGTTCAATCTTCCACCCAAATTGGCAGTCGTATGTTTAGCTGGTAAATCTGTGAAGATTTTAATTTATATTTATGAACCGGTGGCTTCCTGCAACTGGTGAAGTTTGGCAGAGACACCATGGAATACCAACTCAGGGAAAGACCTGAACCATTGGTATTAGTAAAAGCTGGCTCCCTACAAGTAGGGTGCAGCAGATTTAACTACCAGAAAAATATTATGGCAAAGCTGTCACTGTTAATTGACAACATATCTTATGGTTTTCTTTAACAAAAGAAGGGAATGTCCTAAATTCGGACAAGAAGAAAATAAAGGAGAAGAATGAGTTGTTTTTTCCAGAATATTTTGTCATACACCATCCATATCATATCGTGCATTTCTTTAGCAAGTGGCATAGAGCTGGTACAGTCCCATATTATTTTCCTTGTTGAACAGAAAGAGTGTTCTTTCTAGTTTTGCTGCGCGGTGAGACAAATAGGAAACTATACAACAATATTTCAAGTGGCCAAATGACGAAGAGAACTAGGGGGAGTTTTCTGCAGCATCTTTGCTGGATATATTTCTGAGATGCCTGATGTAGCAATTTAGCTTTTGTTTGATACACCATAAATACTAATAAATTCAAGTTTGTCTTTTTTTTTTTTTTTTTAAGAAGCTAATCTGTTTTAGGTCGACAAATTTTTTTTTTGCTGGATATTTCATTGATTTATTCCATTTGTTGGTTAATGTTGTAGTTGCATTGGCTTGGTAGTAAGTATTTCAAGAGAGGACCTGAAGGAAATGATATTCAGAAGACAAATGTACCCAATATGAGAATTTCGTTTCGTCACGAGGTGAGATTCATAAATTTTGCTCACACCACATTTTACATGTTAGTTGGTGGATGAACCACCAAGCAGGAGGTCAAGGATTCTGAAAAGCGGAGTCTAACTGACCCATCACATACAAAAGAATCGTGTTTTATGATGATCTCATTTTAAGTATAAATTGTATATTTGTTACTACTACTTTATTTGACAATTTGGAAGTTCTGCAGACATGGAAGGAAGAGATGCAACATGTGTACTCAGGAAAAGCCAGGCTTCCTGAAGAAATAGAAATTTGAAGGGAATGGAGTCATAGGAATGAAGCCAAATTTTGATTACGGTTATATACGATGCTCTCGAATCCTGGTTCGAAATTTGGATATGGTTTGAGGTCCGTCTCAGCATGGGTTAGGCTTTCCAAAATTTGAGGCCATTGCCTTTTCCTCATTGTCTACTACTTCAATATGGATAACAACTAGTAACAACAAAGGTGAAAATTATGCAAAATTGTGAGGTCTCTCTCTGGTGCAATCACGCACAGCCAATTTTGGTCATAAGTTTGTATTTTCTATAAGCCTTGTATAATTGGGTTTGATCTGAAGGCGTCTCAAAATGAGCAGGTCATGATATTAAGCTTGTGAAAATGGTTATTAATATTTATTTCTTTCTCACTTTTGGTTGGCTATAACTTTGATTTTTTCATAAACCAACTAATCACACATTTGGAAGAAATGATCCATTTTAGTGTCAAATACCAGTGCAAGCTATGGAAAGGTAATGGGAGATAAAGTAATCATTTAACACACATAACTTACGGACATAGCTCTAGTCATCTATAATATGCACTCTGTACCTCACTAAATATTTCATTTATTTGTCAGATTTTCTTCAAATAATAAAATTGAAAATTAAGACTTTAAATATCAAAATTGAAAATTGTGCTAATTCTATTTAAAGCGTATATGAAAAATTTGTGAAGTTGATTCTGACCCAGGAAAGGTCAGCACATAACCATTTGCAAGATCTATAATATGCACTCTGTATGAGATGATATCTCACTATCCCGCGTAGACTGCGTAGTAATAGCTGGGACGACCAAGTTTGTATTGTGGAGAGAACTCACAATGATTCATTGGTGGGTAATCATTCACGTGCTTCTATAGGCGCAAATGGTGAGAGCTCATTCAAAGAAAGAGCGCAAATGGTGAGAGCTCATTCAAAGAAAGAGTGGCCCTGGACCACTTGTTTTGGAAATGTTGCATGTGCCAACCGATAACTAAGAGAACATTTATTGAATTTCTACATTTATTTTTATAAATAGAGTTGTATTCCAGTATCCAAATCCCAGAAAATCACTACCACTTCTAAATCAACAAAATATAAAAACGATTTCAGATTAAAATTAAAATAACAACACAAATAAATCGTATATTCCAGAACTGCCACTGCCTCCATGCGCTATGGGATCATATAAATTATGAAATTATGGTACAACATTACATCTGTAAGATTGTTATTGGAATCAATTTGTTGAAATTATTGATGGTAGCAATTTGTTGCGACTACAGCCACAAAAACACTCGAAAAGATATTTCAGTAACAAAAAAATAATTTATATGGATTAATATTTTTAATTTCCTCTAATATCTCAAGTGAAGACTTAATTTTAAAACAAATTAAAACAAACATCTCTAATATCTCCATATTACAAACGTCTCTAATATGTCAATATAAAAATTACTAGGAATATATTTTACAATTATATAAAACGTAGTGCTTGCATTCCCTTATATAAACGATTGTCATGCAGGAGTTGCTCATCTAGAAATGAGAAGTCGATGATAAATAGGACATAACACATTGAAGAGCACGCAATTTATTCTGGGTCACGATTTTATTTTATTTTTTATGATGGGTCACGAAATATAGTTCCGGAGTTTCATACTCTGTGCACTTGCGTTGCATGACTCAAATGGAAGAAGCCATCTCTTGGCAAGGAAAAGTTCCATTCACATAAGGGTTGCGGTTTATATATATATATATATATATATATATATATATATATATAGGTATATGGATTGAGGGAGGAGGGAAGAAAGGTCAATCAGAATGAGATATTAAAAGGGTATATATTTTTAATGTCTCATAAAAATAGATACTAATAATTAGTAAATTTAAAAATAGTCAATTAGAAGGTCGCGTTAGCGACTGTCCCAGAACTTCTCAATACATGACGGATGCTTTGAGTGGCCCCCAAAAGATACATTATCATCTATTGTCTTTTATTTTTTGAATTTTGATATTTGGTTATCTAGTGAAATACATTTCCTAATAGTGTCAACTTCTTTGGCATTAATTACTAAATAGTGCATCAATCTATCAGTGATCTATATTTATTTTTCAGCTCCCCTTTAATGTTTATTTATTTATTTTTGAGCTTTTGGAATCTAAATCAACTTATAGTGGTAAGGGAAGGTAGATGTTGATAGTATCAACGAATTTGAAATTGAAAGAAATTTAATTATAATGTTAAATTAAAATTTTTTTTTTTTCAATTCTCATCGAAGACACCAATTGAATACTTCCGAGCAACTTGTAGTGGTGGGAGAAAATAGATGTTGATAGTATCGAGGAATTTGAAATTGAAGAAAATTTAATTATAATTTTAAATTAAATTTTTATTTTTTTCAATTCTCATCTAAGACACCCATTCAATACTTCCAAACAACTTCTAGTGGTAGGAGAAAGTAGATTCTGATAGTATCAAATCTGCATGAATTTGAAATTGAAGAAAATTTAATTATAATTTTAAATTAAATTTTTTTTTTTTTTTCAATTCTCATCTAAGACACCAATTCAATACTTCCAAACATATGAGGAGATTCATGAAAAAAAAAAAAAAAAAAAAAAAAAAAAAAAAGAAGGGAGTAGAGAGAGGGAGGGAGAACAAGGGAAATGTTCCTTTATTAAGTATAACTGAAGTTATCAATTGATACTAAGCTCAATTTGAACTTGAAGCTGCAAACCGATTTACTTTCCTGTTGTGTGATGGTTAAGTGTATTCTTGTATTTCTTCCACTTAACTTGTGCGTGAGAGACAACATTTTCATCATTGGTATACTTAAGTAGATATTGGATGCGTCATGCACGTCACCGCTCTTGGTATATTCATGCAGATTCGATACAAATATCTCCATATTACAAACGTCTCTAATATCTCAGTACAAAAATTACTAGGAATATATTTTACAATTATATAAAACGTAGTGCTTGCATCCCCTTATATAAATGATTGTCATGCACGAGGTTGCTCATCTAGAAATGAAAAGTCGATGATATATAGGACATAACACATTTAAGAACACGCAATTTATTCTGGGTCACGTTTTGTTTTTATGATGGGTCACGAAATATACTTCAGGTTTATGGAGTTTCATACTCTGTGCCTGTGTTGCATGATTCAAATGGAAGAAGCCATCTCTTGGCAAGGAAAAGTTCCATTCATATAAGGGTAGCGGTTTATATATATATATATATACACACCAAGGGCGGATTCAGAAATTGTCAATAAGGTGGGTTAAAATTAAACAAAAATTTAATAACACAATTTCTTAAGCAAATTTTTTTATAACATAATCTAGATAAATATTTGAAATCAAATATTACAAAATATCTATCTAAGTTGTGCTCAACGAGTCTTTAAAGACTCGAATTCGTCGATAATAGACTCGAAGTAAAATTTTCAAATAAGGTCCTATACGGTCATGCAATCAGCAAGAAATTCATCTCCCATCGTGATATATTTTAACACGTTTCATATTTGATTTTTTTTTATTTTAAAGATAGAATTATTGAAATTTTTGTTTGTGGTTTTATTTTATAAATCAATTTGAAATTCTAACACTCACCCATCTATATTTGTTTTATTTAAATCTGTAATAAGTTAGTAACTTTTGATTTGTGAATTATTGGATTAGATGTTTTCTTTTCTACTAATACTTCTTGTCTACTAGAGTTCAAAATCATCAAATTTTCGTAGTTTATAGTACCATAATTTTTTTTGTTTGTTTGTTGAAAACTTTTTAGATAAACACAGAAGCTCTGTTTATTTTTCATGATGATTTGAAAGTGTTGAAATTATAAATTTATTCTATATAAATAATTTTAGAACTACCTCAACAACAATTTTTTCTCAAAATGTGTTTTACTTCATATCTTAATACTCATCATTAATAGGGCTTGTTAGGTTTTAGCCTTTATTTTAGTATTGTGGCTTAGTGGAGTTGGGTTTATTTGGGTGGGCATAATAATTTTTTTTTTTGGGCTGGGCTAAAAATTCCCATAGTAATAATAAAAAAAAAAAAATTTGGGGTGGGCTGGAGCCCAGCCCAGCCCAGCCTTACGCTGGATCCGCCAGTGATATTACACACACACCCAATCAGAATGAGATATTAAAAGAGTAATATTGTCCTAAAAATATTATATTTACTTTTAATTTTTCATAAAAATAGGATACTAATAATTAGTAAATTTAAAAATAGTAGAAGGTAGCGTTTAGCGACTGCTCCAGGACTTCTCGATACATGATGGATGCTTTGAGTAGTGCCAAAAAGATACATTATCATCTATTATCATTTATTTTTTGAATTTTGATATTTGGCACTAATTACTCAATAGTGCATCAATATATTAGTGATCTATATTTATTTTTCAGCTCCCTCGTTTAATGTTATTAATTTTTTTTTTGAGCTTTTGGAATCTAAATCAACTTGTAATGGTAGGAGACAGGGAATGGGGGGGGGGGGGCAAATTTATAAAGAGATTTTTTCATAATTTCAGTGGGGTAATTTCAAAATTTTATTGGTATAAATGAAAAAAAGTACAAATTTATGGATATAAAATGCAATAACAAAAAATTTCAGTGAGGGCGGATGTCTCCACTAAGCCCACAAGTACATCCATACCTGGTGGGAGAAAATAGATGCTAGTAGCATAGAATCTGCACATTGAATTTGAAATCGAAAAAAATTTAATTATAATTTTAAATTAATTCTTTTTCAATTCTCATCTAAGACACCGATTCGATACTTCTAAATATACGAGGAGATTCATGATAAAAAGAAGAAGAAGGTAGGGACAGGGGAAATGTTATAGAATGAGAGGAAAACTCCCTTATTAAGAAGTTATCAATTTTTTTTTTTTTTTTTTTTTTTTCGGTAATTAAGAAGTCATCAATTGATGATACGCTCAGTTTAAAATTGAACCTGCAAACCAATTTACTTTCCTATTGTGTGATGGTTAAGTATATTCTTGAATTTCTTCCGCTGAACTTGTGCGTGAGAGACAACAATTAACTATTAGTATACTTGAGTAGATATTGGGTGCGTCATTCACACCACGCTATTAGTATATTCGCCCAATAATAATGCATCATTAGAATGAATTTAAAATAGAATTGATAATTGTAGCCCACCAGATTTCAACTTGTGCTATGGGAAAGAATTGCGTAAGCACGAGTTATAATAATATTAAGGGCGTATATATGCCAGCAAGATGTTAGAAATTTAATGTTAATCATGAGCAGATGAGGGGAAAATTGTAGAAAGCTTTTGCATTTGTTGGTTAATGTTGTAGTTTCATTGGCTTGCAGTTAGTAATTCAAGAGAGGACC